TCAAGCTAGACATCGTCACCGTTCTACGGGCACGTACGACCACGAGTGATACTACTATCCTACTCGATCTTAACCCCTACGAACTATTTCGCTCACGTGCATCCGGCTCCGAGTATGAGCCATCATCATAAGGATGATTGCAATCCTTCGCGACGTATGCGAATGCGACGTATTGGCCAAATTCGTTGCGAAGAGCTGATCGTCGATGGCTCTCCGAAGGAAGATTAGTGGATCTCGCACTATCAGTGATCGTCGCGGACAATAAGACAAAAATTGCCCACGAAGATTCATCAGACCGGACACCGACCTCTCTGACTGCAAATCCACTCTCGAGTTTGGGAATACAATACATGGTTCCCATTCCGAATCCAATTCCATCGCCCGGACTCAGCTGTCGTCGGATATGTTCATCTGGCGTCGAATACTAGGCTTTTTTTCGAGCCTGACTATTCATGGAGCACCTGCGCTGAGCTCTGTCGAGTAGGGTGCATACTGAGAAGTTTGGAGATTGAGTGAGGAGTGTGCGGCATTCTGCTGCCTTGAGCTTACCGAATTCGGATTGCATTGAACTGTGTTTTGTATTGCATCTTTCGCAGTCACGGATCTTTCGAAAGGAAAAGTGTTCGTCATGTATTAATCTACTTCAGAGAGGCCTCGGTGTTTGAACATATGTAGGTATGTACGGACTGCTCACAAGAGAGGCACAGGGAATCACTGGAGTGCCCACACGACTCGACAGGGGACACCAGGGGAGCTTTCCGGCTCGGACAGTGGAAGGCTCTGGAATATAGCTGCGATAAAGACTGCTTGGTCTGATGTTGAAGATCTGGTGGCACGGCGGTTCATCTTGAATGAGCCCCCTGATGTGAATGGCGGCGGCGGAAAGCCTGGTGGCGAACAGAGGACGCGCAACAGATCCCGCAGGATGTCAGCAGCGGTAATCTATTCTGGAAGTGAATATTCTTCGCACTTCGACCTGATAAGCTCCGATACGCCGTACCGCCGCCGGCCCGGGGAGCAGGGTACTGTCGATTCTATCATCAATTCTGTGAGTGATCGATTGATTTCTCCTCGTGGTCATAGCGGAACTCCGAATATTTTTCGTGACAATGATCGCCCAATCGATCAGCCGAATTATCACCGGAAGAGTACACACTAGCCATTGGGAGCCCTAAGTCGGAAGTAACGTTTGGAAAGGTGATAGAGACAAAGTCCACACATATTCCCGCGGAATATCAGTTTAAAACGCCCGCGGAATATAAGTATGGATCGCATGTGGGATGGAATGGAAATGAAATGTGGAAGAATGCCCGAAAGAACGTTCCTGTTTTAACTAGTCTTGCATCCGGACCCCTAAGAATCACTATCACTACCCTTCCATTGAATGCACTCTCACAATGAATGTAGCAGCGATCGCGGTCCACATGGGCAATCTTGCACTCGGTCAGGAGATGCGATCACGCTGACCATGGACCAGCTTCCAGGTGGACAACGACATCGAGGGTGTTCATCATCACCGTGGAGCGTTCCGGAACCAAGCATTTCTCTGATTTCCCTCCGGAAGTAGAGCTGGAAAAAATATCGATGCAGCGGCTCAAGCCCAAGTCTCGTAGGCGGATCATAGAGCTCATAGCAAGATGCATTACGCTTGAGGAGCGTCGCCGTGTCCCTTGTCTGTCTGGTGAAGACATTCTTCGTTTACGTCACAGAGATCCAATGAGAATTTCTATCGGAAGTTCGCGTAGACGGAGCCCAGAAAGGCTGAATGCGTCGGCTGAGAGTTCCTTGGTCGCACTTCTCCCGAGTTTCAAGGAGCTCCGCTATGCCGAGCCAGGTATTACTTCTAAGACTCCGTGATTGGGATGGATGGAATGACATTGGCAATCCATTGCGAGCCGCGTCGGGATTTCCTAGGGCCGTTCCGAGCGAGAACTCCTGTCTCCCATCCATAGAGCTGTAGATTCTCGCTACGCAGGTACAAATATCAGTCGGATGTCGGCGCGGCGTCGTGGTCTAGCTGCTACGAGCTTCTGTTCCAGGGGAGCAGTCTCTTAGATCGCTGATATCCTGCCCCGCCATCACTGTAGTATTTACGGGAGTAAATTAGGCGAGTGCATTTATTGTAACCGAGCGACCATTTCAACAACGACACTCGACTGTATCAGTTCCCTCATGGATCGGCAGGATGCCCTGTCTGGAATGCGGAAATCGAAACACCGCGATACGAGAGACCGATCAGCGCGCACTTCAGCCAGCCAAGGAGCTAACTGAGCTAAGGCGCTCTGAGTAGCTGGATCCGCCCCTGCCGTCGGCCATCACCACATAAATCGCTGAGGCCGTAAAGAAGCCTTTCCAATATTCTGATTGATATCGGGGATCCGCCGTCCTCCCAGCGCTAAAATTCTGGAAAGGAAGGGATGAACGGATCTGACCTTCCTATTCTCTCGGCCGTATTCCTCTCGATACTGTGCTCATTCATCAGGTATCAGTCACATTTCGCTGGATTTACAGTGCTCAACCCGTTTCGCTTATTCCTGCACACTCCGGATTCTATAACCTAGCCCTGAGAGATCAGGCAGCCTCGATTAATAATTCTCTGACCCCCGAACGCCCTGTATTTCGTCAATAATCATGCTCGAGATTCTGGCTATTTGGAAGGAAAGAGTACTACTCCGAACGAGATCATTTTTGCCGCGTTGATCGCCTCCGAGGTCCCTGATGACTCACTGAGAATCGAGCATGACATCCGACGCTGCGAGCACTCGAAACGAATGGATTCCCCCAGATGTGCCATTTCATCTCAATGTTCCACAACGAGGGATATTCGAGGCTGTTCGATGTGACTTAATTCACACAAGCTGGCGATGAAGTGAAGCGGGGGTTTGATTCAGAGTTCCTCACGACTCGTCGGAGAGAAATGCCGTCGCGTCGTCCGCCTTCTTCTCGAAGGTTCTGAATAGGATTCCAGAAGGCTCCGAATTTTACTGGCCATCCTTGATGAAGCCATGTTGCCAAAGAAGTCCGCTTCATATATTCTATCGCTCTGCATCACTCACTCGTCTCATCTCGTGAGTTGCTGCCCAGTCGAGGCATTAATCATCGACTACGCTCCATTAATTCATGATTGAAAGGCCTAATTGATGGATGCAATGATGGTTAATATTCGGGGACCGGAAGAATTCGGAAATCGGGAGGAAAAAAAAGAGAACAGGCAAAATCAATTATTCCATCCATCAGTCGATATCCTCAGAAAAGGGAGGAAGAGTGATCATTGTGATTGATGACTAGACTTCGCAGCTGTGGAGCGTTTCAAAGTGTGAAACTGCTCGGAAAGAGCAGTGCGACCAAGTCAGGGGGCTAGGGATGCGCGAAGAGACCTCAATCAAAGGATGCGGCCTGCGCTAGCGACAGATTCCAGCCTCGCATGCGGTCATCGAAGGTTTCTGTCGCGCTACCAGAGGCTCATAGGCGATCGCGGCTATTCTTGTGGATGGACCTCTCGAGAGTCACGCTTTCTCCCGCTCAGACTCCTCCTATCTCCCAGTCGATATCTTTGATCCAACCCAAAACGACAATTCGAAATGACTTCGGAGTCAGCTGCGGGCCGGTGTAGCGCATTTGTGAGGATCTGCATACAAACTCCCTCCGACGACCTCGAAAGTTTCGGGAATCCTCTGTGCTATCGGCGATCATGCAGATGTACCGACCTCGCGGAAGAGTCGGGTCTAAATAGCTCTGTTTCCATCCTGGGACTCGCCGTGATTGTCTCGAGTTCTCGGACCTAGTACGGAATCCGGACTCGGGTCATTCGGGCTTCTTGCATCATCGGACACGGTGAGTCTCACATACAGACCGAGCTCTGAATCGTCTCAATCCGTTAGACGCTTGATACGAGATGGATAGTCCAAAGCTTCACCATCAATGCATCCATGAAAGATCTCTGGTCATTATCGAGGCTGACCCTGGTCTACACGGCTCAACAGGTGTACTCGAATCGTCTGACGTGTAACGTCTGGATGATGCTGATCAGCAGAATGCCTAGCGGGTGCCGTCATCTGCTGTTCCCTCGAGCGATCGCATTCCCGAAGAATATGCCTTTCGACAAGGGATCGCATGCTGGAAATTGAGACCGTTCAGAACTCACAAACAATGCGAGATGCGATTCACCGGTGTGATATCTGAGTCCAGAAAGCCGCAAGCCTGGCCGCACGAATCCAGACCCGGCCTACTCCTTGCTCATTGCCCGCCAACCGGATCTCCAGAGAATTCCACCTGGGATAGAAGGCTTTGAGCGGTAGCATGTGGTTTCTCCTTCCGGTAGGCGACCAATGTCTGATATCGATTCAGGAACTAAATCTGAGGTTTTCGGAATACAGGATCTCCGATTCGGTATGGGAGGCCTCAGATTCCCGAATTGAAGGCAGATTTCGGTCCGTCCGCCGGTAGGTTGTCTTCTGAGAGCACTGAGCTCTTCCGGATAGGAGCAGATACAGATTGAAGACCCCACTTATCGGGCAATTGATGCGATGAAGAGCTCCCGGAGATATGCCGAGGAAGGGGAAGGGAGCGAGGCGAAGAATCCGATGATAAGGGAATGTATAGGGACAGCCGATGATTTAGAACATCGGGAATCGTAGTATAGAATATCGCTCCCGATCCAGAGTTTTATTCAGCTCGGTTCCACACAACGAGTAGGTTGCCGTCAGAAATTGATGATGATGAGGTAGCTACTTGATCAGTGAATCTTCGACCCACGAACCACGAAACATTCTCGCGGTCCGTCCTTTGAATGCCGTAGGCTCTCTTACCTAAATTTTGGCCCTCTCCCTCGAATTCTCCGTCATCGTGTCGATCCCGCGCGTGAATCCTGTCTGTCTGCGCGCGGTGTGTGTTGTGTGAGTGTCATCATCGTTTCGAACAGTCTCGAAGCATCTTGTTTTCGTGAACTAGAGGGCGCTGTTGCTCGGTCTTTTATAAGGAGTGAGTCGTCTGCTAGGTTCACCAGTTCACTTTGGTACAGCAGTGGCTTAGCGTGCAAGCATTCCGTATCTCCAAACACGAGGAGAACCAGAGTCGCGCCAGATCGCAGGAAACAATCGAAAACTCGTTGGAGTCTCAAGTTGTTCCTCTCGAGCCCGATACAATAGCCTAACTCGTCGGCAAAATGGCACCGGCAATCGGAATCGATTTGGGTACCACGTACTCCTGTGTAGGAGTTTTTCAACACGGCAAGGTAAATCAACGTCTAGCTGACAGAATGAGTCCGAATAAGATTCCCATCTGCGGTATAACTTGAACTCGATACTTTGCGGCACTGCGAGAATGGCGATCCGGAGACTTGAAGACAACGAAATCATTCCAGGTGGAAATCATCGCCAATGATCAGGGAAATCGCACAACGCCCTCGTACGTGGCCTTCACTGATACGGAACGTCTTATCGGGGATGCGGCCAAAAATCAGGTGGCTATGAATCCGTCAAACACGGTTTTCGGTGAGTGCTGACCCCCAGAGCAGTTATTAGTTCGCGGAGAAATTTCCAGAAACACGTCGGATTTCGAATTGCAAAGGTCTCAGACATAGTTCATTCGAAGTTTGCGCGAATTTTGAGGTCGTGAGCACGAACGTGCGGCATGAAATTTTTCGGCCGCGCGTTTTCGTCTTCCGAAATGGGGTAAGACCGGGACGAGACCGGTATCACAAGATGGCGGCCATGCTTTGTATAAGGCTTGGCTTGGCTCACGCCCTGATACCGGCTTCGAGGCGGTCGATACATGTGGAGTTCTCTATCGCGAGGCTTGCTTAGGCGGAGAATCGACCGTGTGCCGACTTAGAGCCGGTGAATGTGGAGCGAGGGCCACCGTTCACCGATGCTTCTGGATCATGGAACGCGCGCCGAGAATGTTCTACGGCTTCCTGCTATTGAGCTAAGTCGCGGGGCCGCCGCGTCTTTCTCGCCTCGCATCTACATTACATGAATGCGACCTCGGCTCGGGTTTGGAAGATTTGCTTGAAGTGTGTATCCTGAGCGAATGCAATGTGTCATTCGAGAGCCGGATGATGGTCCGAGCGAACATCGTGGTTCATGAAGCCCTGATTGGTGCGCATGTCGCCATGGCCAACGGCGGCTTGTCGCCGCTGCTGCGCCAGTAAGACCATTGAACTGCGCGCCGGTGCTTCGCATGACGTCGAAAACACAGCCGGTTGAATCATTGGGATGGAATTTTCTAGAATTTCCGCATGACGCGCGCCTTGCAGCAGCAATACGATAACTCATCAAAAAGCGAGAATCTCTCATCGGAGCGCATGAGCTACATTGAGATTCTCGAGTAGCTTCCGTTCACATATATTCGGATTCGGTCGCGCACCTTCCGAGTCCCCGCCTCGGTCCAGAATCTTCGCGAATGCGGGAATCTTATGCGGAAGATTTCTCTTCTTTACTCGGACGTAGAAACTCATGGAGGGTGATTCTTACAGATGCCAAGCGTCTCATCGGACGTCGATTCGACGACGCAGCTGTCCAGAGTGACATGAAGCACTGGTCATTCGACGTCGTCAACGACGGTGGAAAGCCGAAGATCAAAGTGAGCTATCGTTCGAAGAAAGGACGCGAGCCCCATCGTATCTTAATATTTCTCAATCAATATCACGAGTGATCCGGAGCTCGGAAAATCCTCGCTTACGCACCCCGTTCCCTCAATCCGCAGGTCGAATTCAAGGCTGAGACGAAAACTTTCTTCCCCGAAGAAGTTTCCTCAATGGTGTTGGTGAAAATGAAGGAAATCGCCGAAGCCTACCTCGGTTCCACCGTTTCGTCTGCCGTCATCACAGTGCCGGCTTACTTCAACGATTCTCAGCGTCAGGTAACTTCTGAATTACTGCTCCAGCGTGAATTTTCGCATTTCACTCATACGATATAGACGGTGCTTCGGGAATTCTTCCTCATCGAATTTTGATCCACCTCGATTAGGCCACCAAGGACGCCGGAACTATTGCCGGACTCAACGTTCTGCGTATCATCAATGAACCGACGGCCGCTGCCATCGCCTACGGTCTGGACAAGAAGGCCCAAGGAGAGAAGAACGTTCTGATCTTCGATCTCGGTGGTGGTACCTTCGATGTGTCCATCCTCTCGATCGAAGACGGAGTCTTCGAAGTGAAGTCCACCGCTGGAGACACTCACCTGGGAGGTGAAGATTTCGACAACCGAATGGTTACCCATTTCGTGCAAGAGTTCAAGCGCAAGAACGGTGGAAAAGACATCACTTCGAACAAGAGAGCCCTGCGTCGTCTGCGTACGGCGTGCGAACGCGCGAAGAGAACTCTTTCGTCGTCGACTCAGGCCTCGATCGAAATCGATTCGCTGTACGAAGGTCTCGATTTCTACTCCTCGATCACACGTGCCCGTTTCGAGGAGCTCTGCGCTGATCTCTTCCGTTCAACCCTCGAGCCTGTCGAGAAGTCTCTCCGTGACGCCAAGCTCGACAAAGGCCAGATTCACGAGATCGTCCTGGTCGGAGGTTCGACTCGTATTCCCAAGGTCCAGAAGCTCTTGCAAGACTTCTTCAACGGCAAAGAACTGAACAAGTCCATCAACCCCGACGAGGCCGTGGCCTACGGAGCCGCCGTCCAAGCAGCCATCCTTTCCGGAGATTCCTCAGAAGCCGTTCAGGATCTGCTTCTCCTCGACGTTGCCCCGCTCTCGCTCGGTATCGAGACTGCCGGAGGCGTCATGACCACCTTGATCAAGAGGAACACGACCATTCCCACGAAACAGACTCAGACGTTCACCACCTACTCCGACAACCAGCCCGGTGTACTCATCCAGGTTTATGAGGGCGAGCGAGCCATGACCAAGGACAACAACATCCTCGGGAAATTCGAATTGGCCGGAATCCCTCCAGCACCCCGAGGCGTGCCCCAGATCGAGGTCACGTTCGACATTGACGCCAACGGTATCCTCAACGTATCCGCCGTCGACAAGATCACTGGCAAGGCGAACAAGATCACCATCACCAACGACAAGGGTCGCCTGACGAAGGAAGACATCGAGAAAATGGTCAAAGACGCCGAAAAATACAAAGACGAGGACGACAAGCAGAAGGCGAAGATCTCCGCCAAGAACGCTCTCGAAAGCTATTGCTTCAACATGAAGTCCACTTTGGAAGACGACAAGGTCAAAGACAAAATCACGGACGCCGAGCGAAAAACATGCGTCGACGCCATCGATGACGCGATCAAATGGCTCGACGGAAACCAGATGGCCGAGAAGGACGAGTTCGAAGACAAGCAGAAAGAGCTCGAGAACCTCTGCAAGCCCATCGTCATGAAGCTGTACCAAGGCGGAGCGGGAGGCATGCCCGACATGGGAGATATGCCCGGAGGAGCACCCGGTGCCGGCGGAGCGTCCGGTATCCCCACCGTCGAAGAGGTCGATTAAATTAAACGAAGAACATTCAACTAGTGGTTATATTATTTTCGAATGAAAGGCCACCTATTTGCACCTGTCATCACCAGGGACGGCGCCAGCTCTTTTTTTTTCGACGACCTTAAAATTTTTTCCGTCCCCCTCTCGGAGTGACTGCAGTCATATGTGTGTTGGTTGATAATATACATACAACGACAGAACCCTCATGCCAGGGCGAGGGGTCTCCGTAATTCGTTTCTTCCGCCTTGATACCTCCCTTTTTCCTTCTTGTGAAGCAATGTCTGTCACCAGTTTGCCGTTCTCGACTTGCGAGCGATCGGGTAGTGACCGTGATGGCTTCGAGTTCAGCCGTCAGTCCGTCAGTCGTACCGTCCTCGGTCCTCTGAAGCCCTATCACCTTCTCTGTCGTTCTCGCTCGGGAAGAATTCCGCCACTTCTAACTTTCGATCAGAGCAGCACGGCCAGATCACTCACGGTCAAGACACAGTTTGCAGAGGGGGAGTCGAACTGAGGTCGAGCCCTCCAGCGCTGAATCGAGCTCGATGTGTCCGAGACTGTCCACGTTTGTTCTCAAAATTATCGAAATTTCCCTCTCGAAGCTGGACTCCCGGTCGACACGCGCGGACATTGACGAGAGCGCGGATACCTGTGCGTCGAGGGTCGACATTCAGTCATCGAGCCCTATCCGCGTTGTGCGTGCGGAGACGCAGAGTCGGAGACTGTATTTGCAATGATCGAACCCGGTAGCCTGCCTGCGGATACATCGGGTATCGGACATCCGGTTATGCCGAGTTGGCAGGACGCAGAGAACTTCAGCGAGGGTCTCGACGGGAGGCTCCGCGGCCCACGCGGGCCCGGGATACTGCGACGGAAAACTTTCATAAATCCAGGAGTCGACGAGGCTGGAACCCCTTTATTGTCATGCTGGCGCCGATCCTGGTGATCAACGATTCTAGTGGAACTTGAGGGGAAAAACAAGACCAGCAGCAGCAGATGACAACAACGTCACCTGTTGGAGATGATTATGCAGCATAAACCGTCGAAGGGGAACTGAGTTGACTCCTTTCCAGAGAAAAGCTTACTATAACCACTCATATTAATGGAAAACACTGCGGAAGATGTTCCAATATTGGTATCTGAAAGAAGGCGATCTCATTGTAAATTTCATTAGCCGCTGCGGGAACGGATATGGATTCGCCGATGATGATATTAGGAGCCGTTGAGAAGGGAAGTGAAGGCCGAACGAGCGAAGTTGTAGGTGAGCGATGGCTCTGTTTGAAGTCAACTAGGAAAAATCCGAGAGCTTGTTCTTTTACAATTCAGCGTGGTCAAGGTGGTCGTCATTATCATCGGCTAACTATCATTGATGGAAAACAAGATGAGAGACCTGATTCATGAATAATTATCAGTCTGATCAAGAAGGAGTATTCATAGATTGGGTTCCCTCGAAAAGCTCCATCAACTCTTATTTCAGTAGATACAGCTACTAAGGAGACGGCGCGGCGGGCTGCTTACGGTTCTGAGGCGCCGGCCTGGAGCTCTAGTAGTTATCTCCTCGCCTATTCAAAGGCTGGCGTCACCCTGAAACGTCATGGTCTATAAATGATATTCTGTTTTCCAAATCATATCTCCGTCCCCGATGCTCGTTTTTTCTGCTCGCCATCGAGTCCACTAATTCATTGCCAATGAGGGTTTTCTGCCGGCGATGGTTCCGTGACGGGAGCCTCCAGCTCGGAGTGTTTGATTCTGTCGGGGTCTCTGCTTTCAATGTCCTCATCTTTTTTTTGGTACTCGTGATCGCGTACGGCATTCGGGAACAGCTTAGGAGAAGCCGACTTCGCTGCTTGCACGTCAGCACCCTCCGAAGCTGAGCGTGGGAAGAGCCAACGCACGGGGCCATTCGTCGTCGTGAGAGTCGGGTTTATTGACCTCGGTGGTCTATTGGGGGAACTTCTCGGTTTCGCTCCTTTTCACAATATTGCTCGCGATCCTTTTCACTGAATGAAGAAGCTGAAGCTTTCAATGGAGAGTTCGGAATCGGTGCGCACTATGTGTGGATGTTCGTGGTCAAATGCTGGCGGGTCCGACCCCTGGACTGGCCACGGTACTACACTGGGGATTCGAAGCCCTGAGGTTTGGGAACGGGGACTTGGACGGTCGAGCGTGATCGACCGTCTGAGGGTCCCGCCAGCATAATCGGTGCGTGTAGCGGTCACCGCCGCTTGTTTTGTGAGTTTGCGGCGTGAAGGCCGGTTTCCGATGCTTCTCCGAACTAAGAGTACCGACGGAAGGCCAATCTCCGATGACCTCCCTCGTATGAGGCCCGCATTCGTAAGCGACGAAGCTTGCGTCAGAGAATACATGTCGCTTCCTGCGCGGTTTCGCATGCCGAATGGGATGTCGTCGATGTAAAAACAGTTGACGATTTCTTAGATGAAATCTTTCTCCATACAGTGCGTTATCCTGGCGTTCTGACTCTCTCCTGCTCCTGAAATATCGTCATGCGATTGGACTTCGCGAAAAACCGCATATTCCATGAAAAACCGCGCTTATTGACCGCGGTCATTTGCTATCCCCCTTAGAGTCCCATGATGGAGAAAAACCGCGATTGCGGTTGATAAACGCGGTTGCCAGGAAAACGAGGACGCGATCGGCTGTCACGAGTGCAGCTTGGAAACACGATGCCGCAGGGCGGCAATAGGCCTGCGTTGGAGGTCGGGAATCGATCTGGGCGAAAAATGGGATGATCTTCAAAGAAAATTAAGACGAGGGAACTTCGCCTAGGCTCGCAGGCATCGTCCGTCGATTGGTTTTTGTGGAGAGAGAGCTCACATGAGAGCAGAACCTCCAACTTCCCGATGGTATCAGCAGATAGAAGCACGCTTCCAGAGAAATATCGAGCGTATCGATTCCCTTGCTCCCTCTGAGGACGAGCTCCGAATGGTCTCTGTGAGCGACTTCCTCCTTCTCACAAACCCATTCAGGATAGGGGTTTATGATCGTAGCGGAGAGAGCTGTCCGCCTCAATGTGCCGCCAGAGACATTGGTAGAATTGGAAGTCAGAGCCCGGGACCCTCGGAAATGGAAAACGAGCTTGGAGTTCGCGGGTGATGACGATCTCAAATCCGACGTGGAGACTCTCTCCTTGATTTCCGCTGCGAGAACCTGCAACCATGTCGATGGAGCGCTAGCACGAGCTGCCAGCTCGCTCCGACAGGACAAGAGGAGAGATGAGAGTAGCGGCCTCGCCATCCGGCAGTTTCATGAGTATGCTGGACCTACATCTGATGGGACGGGACATCAGCGCACAAGCTCCGAAGACTTCAGCGAGAAGGACTGCATTCATAGGTTCCCGGGCTATGTCCCTATTCCAGGGCCCCCATCAAGTAGAATTGACCACCTCCAAGACTCCAAACCGATGGAAAAGGCTCCACATTCGGATCATGGTATCACATGATGAGCGCCCATCCAAAGGAGTCCGCCGTCCAGAGAATCTTGGGGGCCGCTGGATTATTCCTATCGATATGCTTCATAATTCGTTCAATATCCGGCTTAGGTCATGTGGATTCTCGTCGCGAAACCCATCTCCACTCGATTGTGATGGCGCAGTCCCCGGAAATCGGTTGCGATCCGCGATCCATTGGCTTCCCCCGGATGATCTCGATAGAAGTGAGAGGTAGGACGAAAGGCCCTAGGATCGGAATGGTCGGGAACCCCAAGCGCTACTGAAACCATCCATTATCGCTCTCCGCACCGCATCCCTAGTGTGAACAGAATAGACAAGAACTGAAAATCCGCATGGTCCGCCTCTTTCCAACAGAGATCATCGCCACCATCGTCATGTTCGTCTGCCATCTGGCTTAGCCGCCGCTTCCCGCTTGAATCTGGAGAGTCATTATTCGTACTTTCCAATTTTCACCCGTATCCATCGCCCGTCAATGCTCCCGGACCGCAGCAACGTGTCTGGAACATGACGTACCCGCCGTACCACTCGGGACGGCGTACCCGCGTAACGGAAAATTGAATATTTGGTTCCGTTCGCACCGTCGTATTCCCTATTTCCCCTAGTACTGATGTACAAGGACAATGAATCAACAGACGTTCGACGTCGATATTCTGACCGAGAAGTGAGAACTGAGTAATCGTAACGGATTATTGGGAGCTCTCTGCCTTTATTGATATTGGGGAAAGAAAATTCAGCCCCATTTCCTCGTGACACGAGATCTCTACAGTTCCGAAAACCACCTCCTTGATCAAATCGTCAAAATCTACCGAATGCTTTTCTCACCGTTGCCCTGCAATGTCCAACGGACATGTGAGTAGCTCCGCCCCGGCCGCACGGATCCCCGTTCGCTCGTGTTCCAGCAGTTCGCGCCAAGAATTCAAATCTTAGCTGACGTCACGCTTCGCTCCGAGGAGGCTGGCGCCCGTCAGGCATTGCGTATATCGTGATGCAAGAGACTGCGAGGAGTCATATCTGAAAATACTTCTCTGAGAAGCAGTCACAGGCTCTGAAACTCCTCCGAGCACATAAGCCTCGAACGACGAAGGTTCCTTCATCGCGAGATTCGAGGTGTAGAAAAGTAGCTCAGAAAACTCAGTCCGCCAAACTAGCGGCTTCCAGGACTTCATCCGCCATTGGCTGTCGTGGTCTCGGGGCTGTGAACAAAGGTTGAGTCAGTCCAGTGTCTTTTAGCACTCCAGAAGTACTTTAAATGGCTCTGAAGCGCATTAACAAAGTGAGTATCTGATCTGGACGTCCGAGTGCATGCTTGTGAGTCCAGAGTGAGCTTCGACGTTGACTTTCATACCCTATGGAAGCTCGAACGGGGTCACCAGCCCATCTAAGCCTTACGGGACGCCTGCTTATGAGAACATATAAGGGGCTTGTGCTCCATTTCTGCACTCGCGATACCGACTCTCGTGGCAATATTGGACGTTGATCGCCGTGGGACGATTTCGCAAGTTCAGGGTCTCCCGAACGAGCGGGCTAGGACGAGGAATATCCACCTTGAATACGTGTTTTTTCTGCCGAGTAATGTCCCCAGTCGACTCATCCTGCCTAGTGTCTGTCAGGGATGGAATTCGGAGTTCGCCGAAGGGTCCCGCGAACCGGAGTAGATATCGTCTCCCCGCACTATCGTGTTCCCTTCGGACGCTATTCTTTTGGTGACACATGAGGCTAGCTGTTGGCTGCTTTCGTGCACGCCCTTAGGTGGTGGCGTGATTGTTGTTACTGTTCGTTGAGACCGCATTCGATGCAACTAAGGTGATCTGGGCATTTTCGTTGTCCTGAAAGCGTGTTATGCTCGTGCGAGAAACGTTCCGCATCGAGCTTCTCTGGGATCTTGTCGGATCCTCCGGAATGAACCCTCGACCAGTCTCATCGAGCGGAGTCAAACAAGCAAGTCTCGCCTCTCGGCAGCCGGAAAACCTAAAATATCTCTTGCATGTTCGGTTACAGGAGCTTCTCGATCTCGGAAGGGACCCTCCTGCGCAATGCTCTGCAGGACCTCTCGGGGAAGATCGTGAGTATTTGAACGCATTCCGGAATAGGGCCCCACACAATTCCCAGCCTCCACGAGAACCGTGTCCTCCGTCGCGGGCCAGCTTCCCTTATTATTTCCAGTCCTCGAGACAATGGGGAGTTTGAGATCGAAGTTTCCCCGAAATGCGCATTACGCTCTCCACTGGACAGGTAGATAAACTGGCGAATGACGAACGAGCGGCCGTTCAACTCCGTCATCCTGGATCGCTGGATCCAATGGGAGGAAAGAAGGGTTTCATAGAACGGCTTCCCTGAGAGCTCTCGCGGATCGCTTGCGTGGCTCCGCGTGCGAAGCTTTCACATCACATTGTAGAGCGTCCATGGCTTTGCGAAATACACTCATCGAAGTGACTAGCGTGGCTCTATAACTCGGGAGTAGAGTTGGGAGTGCATTCTTGATAGCAATGAAACCGACGACATTCTCAATGGGCTCTGCAGGAAGCCTCTCGAATCGATTGGAGGCATTTTCGGAAGGGAACAGTGCTATGGAGAAAAAGTCGCGCATGAATGGAGGAGGAAACCATACGAATCGTAATCTTCTGAGTTTTTGAGCTCTACATGCGAAGTAACTAACCGGGCTTCCTCTTCATCATTTCAGTATTCCATTGGCAGGCAACAATCATGGGACCTGTAAGAAATCGTTCTCTCTCGCAATTATATCGATGTCGACTTCAATCCCTCTCCGGAGACTCTTCGATACTTCAGCGAGACTCATAAATTGACTTACAACATCCCTATTCTCAACGCACCCCATTTTCTTCCAGCCCGATAGTCCATATCAAGGAGGCGTCTTCTTTCTGACCATACACTTCCCAACAGATTATCCATTCAAACCACCAAAGGTAATTAGCGTGATAACGTAACGAGTTTGGATTCGTGGCTTCGTCGCTTATTCTCGGATCTGGACAGTCCCGGGGGAAGGGGGTAGGGGAAATCTGAAATACGCTCTGCTTGGGCGAGAATCCCCAGACCCTAGACTATCATTGGGGGTGGTGAAAATTAAGGGGTCGGAAACGTCTGCCTATTTCATGTGAAATCTCCGCAGTCTTGTCTTATTTCACGCGGGGCTTATGAAGTTACCGGAGCTGTCGGGAGCGATCAGCTGGTTGCGGTCGGCTCTCATTAGAACTTCGGTCATGTTCGATCGAGCTCGGCACCGAGCCTATTCATTCCACGAACTGGCGCTCTCCGCGCCGCGGTCCTCCGATGAGTTCGATCACTCCGTATATTGACCCCGACTCGATCACCCCGTCCAACAGGAGCGACTCGATGATCACGCCTTCCCGCGATTTTTTTCAGGTCGCGTTCACAACACGCATATATCACCCGAACATCAACTCAAACGGATCGATCTGTTTGGATATACTGCGTTCGCAATGGTCGCCAGCGCTCACTGTCTCGAAGGTGAGTTGGGCCCCTTTGTACTCGAGGCTCTTCGAATTTCAATTGCGATCAGTGACTCCAATCGGCAAGAAGTCCTCTATGTTCTCACTTTGGAAGCTGAGCTCGGTATCTTCGCTTCCAGGTGCTGCTGTCCATATGCTCTCTACTGTGTGATCCAAATGCGGACGATCCGTTGGTCCCGGAAATTGCCAAGATCTACAAGTCAGACCGCGATCGTTACAATGAATTAGCTCGTGAATGGACTCGTAAATACGCCATGTAGAAAGCCCCAGGCCCACAACCAGATTATTCGCCTTATCGTGAGATCGTAGTCTCAAAAGGCGTCTCATCCGAGTTGACGACGTCAATTTTTTTCATCGATTCACGAGTGGATCCTACTTCTCGGGCGGAAAAATCTGGTGGAAAGTTGACAACAAACACTTCAACAAGCGTAAGAACGTAAACCAACAACAACGGCAAAGGAGCGGCTGAGGCAGCCTTAGGATTATAGGTTTGATTGGGATTTCTTGGGAGACTGAGACTTTATTCACAACAGATAGTAAAAGCGATAATTGGAAGAAAAATTCACACAATGATTAATTTGATAATGCTACGGATCTCGCGAGCGAACGGAATTGATTTGTTTCCTTCTTCTCCAAAATTCATGCCCATCTGCCGAGGAAAGGTCGTCTGGATCTGAGCTCGAGTTCTCGAAGTAGCGGCATCAAACAACTAGACGCGAACATCAATCAGTCAGTCGAATTTACGGAGCAAAGAGAGGGAGAATAGGAAACAGAAATTAAACGAGGGAGGTCGGAAAGATGGCATGATTCACCTCAGACGCCTCGGAAAAGAACTCCCATTCCCATTTTATAACCTGCCTGCGAGCTGCAATCTTCGTTCGCGACATGCAGTTCGTCTCTGGTATCAATTAGAGGGCAGAGAGACGTGATTCGAAATGAGGGAACGCAAGTAAAATTTCTGAGTGCGCGTAGCATGTTTCGAAATACCACGGGGAATCGGCTTACGAGCGAATCGAAGCAGCTTCTCCCTCGGTCTTCGTAACCTTCTGCACCACTCCCACCAACGCGGTAGGCAGAACGATTTAGCATTCGAGAACGAAAATGCAGGGAGTGTGTAGAGATAAGATCTTTCACCAAGCGATGAATCTATGACAACAAATTCATCGCGGAAACGACTCTCTCGCAGCGAGAGATCAAGAGAAGGACGACCTCATGTACGATCGATCACCGATTCCAGTTCCGCTCGTAATCTTGCTAAGCAGGCTGCGAATTAGTCGATGCATCGGTCCTCATCCGGCGAGCTGCCGAATGTCTCCCCATTGTGATCGATTCATGGATCGAATGGTTTCCGTGAAAGTTTTGTGGTCTACAGATCGGATTTATCGAGGTCACTCCCGTAGAACTTAGTGTGGGCAACGAAACCGCGACTTGTATCCGCTCCCTTTTTCTTCTTTCTTGAAAGCTAATTCGGTTTCTTTTTCGATGAGTATTTTTTACTAAGAATAATTTCGGCTGTGTAACCGGACGGTGGACCTTCGGTCCAGCTCGAAAGTTCCAATCCTGCTGCTGCTGCTGCTTCATTCAGAGGGTGGACTAGGTTACCTAGGGCACTGGGTTGCCAAAGCAAAATTCCATCGTTCATCAAAATTGATACCTACACACTTTGTCGCTGCTCGACTCGGTGGAGCTACGTCGCTACTGAGCGTCATCACTCGGGTTCATTTGTAAATATGAAGTACCATGACGACGATGATGATGATGACGACGACGACGGCTAAAATGATGAGGAAGAGGAGGCAGATTCTGATAATGATGACGATGATGAAGAGGATGATAAGTGATGAAAGGAACAGCAAGAATTAAAAATAAAGATGTTTTACAAGTGTACATGAACTGGGTCGTCTTTCGCAGCGGATCGTAGTTCCCGATGACACGCTCAAGGTGGTCTGCTCATTTCTAGGAGTACGTGCGAGCTCCAGTCGACAGAATTTTCGGAGAGATCTCCAAGCTCTCGACAGCCTCGTAGCCTGAGATCCTTGAGCTTGGACTTGAGAGTGTGGAGTCGATGCAGCAAACAATGGAAATGATTCTGGACCTCCTGAAGTGCTGCGACTCGCGGCTTTCTCCCAAGAATCCAAGGCTCGACGCATGGGGTTCTGCAGACGAAAGAGGAATGCACCTTCGAAACTCCCCGCAATCAGTTGAGCGCCCGATAAGGGATGACGACTTACCACACATATCCTAAGAGCTGTTTGTCTCGTGGCGAAGCGTATCACGACTCCGTCCGCGGTCACCGTCGACGAGGAAGTACCTTTTCTTCTGACCCGCCGGCGGTGTCGTGGGGGATGTCTTGGGGTAAGAAAAATAACGATTCATTCTCAAGCGTCTCGATATCCGGCACGAGTCTCTCATATCGTGTCATACAGCGGAAAGGGAAGAACGGCCACGCCACAAATGAAAGCAGGGTATGGAAATTCCGATCTCTCTTTTGGCTCGGACTTTCGAGTCTGATTTACGGAGACTTGAATGCGCTGTCTCGGGATATCGATGGAAGAAGATTTCAGCGCTTAACTCATCTTAGTACTGATGTTGGTTTCTGATTAATCGAAGGAAGGTCGCCCCCCAGCAAGGGAGATATATGCCAAGAGGAACTAGATGAGCAGAGAGATAGTTCCTCTTACCGGTGCAGCCAACAAGACGATGCCGGAGTTTGTCCATAAGCGGGGACAGAGCGAGAGACCCGGGACGGGGAAAAAGAACTGGGCATACGTGTCAAGCTACCAAGGCAAGGAGGCTCGCATGGGTGGCCAGCAACGTGCAATTCATGTTCCTTGTGGAGCTCGGCTTGTCTTCATCGTCCTCATTCTCAGTGGTCCAATTCCTTAGGGTTCGGCATCCGATGCTCGCCCGATCGCGATCGATTCCAGCGTCGCGTCCATCCGTAGGATACGGCGTCGCTGAGAGTCCCAGCCGTCCTCGCACGGAAAGGGAAGTTCAACGTGGGGAGATATAGAACTTCTAGCACCAACTTGTCTGAGCGACGCAACCGATGAAGTTAGCCTCTTACCCCGATCAATCGTTAAGATCGCTCGCGTAGATAGATTACACTGTGTATCTCCATTCGCCATGCGAGGGTGACGAGACGTCCACCCAGAGCGCAGTCGCGTGTGCTCCGTATGCAGCCCCGGATCGGAATCAGACCTAGCACCTTCGACGAGACGATGTTGGAATTGAATCGGTACCTTCGCACCATGAAGATCCTGGACCGTATTCACAAACTCCAACAAGAAATCTTGCTTCCTCGATGCGGACGGCTCGGGTGTCAAACGATAGAAAATGCGAATTCCCCTCAGGTCATGTCCGCTTCTCGCCGGGGGATTCGAGTGAATAAAAAACGTCTCAAACGCTTCGTCGGAACTCCTCATTTCGGCTATAAGACCAAATCAGGTTGCATGCTGCCGGAGCGAGCTCCAACGCTTGGTTCGGAATTCTTCAGTACGTGCACGAGCAGATTCCAGCTTCGAATGCTCTATGAGCCGAGCTTGCGCAACTCTCATCGATACTTCGGCGACCGTTTTCAGTGAGCTCGGGAGCCGCTATAAGTGCACAGTATTATTTCCTCAGAATGAAGTATTCCGAGGGTTCCAGGAGGGGAGAGAGACTATTGCCGCAGGCACCGACACGGTCGTTCCGTTAGAGGAATTCGAACGCTTGAAGCCTAATGACGAAGCGAAAGAAATAAGAATAAGATTTAGTCATGAGTCAGCTCGGGACCATCAAGTGTACAATGCTTGGAGGGACAGATGCCCTTTCTCGACAGAAAGGCCTGGATGCTCTTGAGGAATTCTTTGAAATTCCCATTCAACTCGGTTCGCCCTCTGGATAGAAGAGCAAGGATTCTTCGATGCACCTCAATTCTTTATTTTAAATATGTACAGCAGTCGGAGGTGGCGACCCTCTTCATTTATAAATTGATATCTCTCTCGCTCAAATATCGATATCGATCAAAAGCAGGAACTCACATCCTGCTCCGATCTGACCGAGGTACCCTCGGCCTCTGACTTGGGTTGGAAGTCCGCTCGGTCAAGGCGTCGACGAAAACGAGGCGACTAGTCTCATGTCGCTTACACAATTGTCTTCTGTACGCGTATATGCTCTCCCCTCGACGGACGGCCTAGATTCCCCGCCCAATCTCAAACCCGATACGACCACTCTAGAATTCGGCCCCTTCGAACGAAGGAGCTCGATCCCATCTGTATGCATCGGATCCATCTCCTATCGGCTCTTCTTTTTCGAACTTTTCTTGATATATCCCGTGTATTCGTTGGGCCCATTGCTCCGCAGGTCGACATTCGAGACCAGACTGCCAGAGGATCCGAATACAAAATCGGGTTGGTTGTTCAGAAGGGAGCTGCCGGAGATCATGCTCTTCTTCTGTGAGCTCAAGAAGTCTAATCTAGGAGCTCTCGCAGTATTTGGAATCCGCGCGAAGAAACTCTCAAAGTCCTTGCCAGACGAAAAAGCTTGAGCCGCGATTGGATTCTCCCCATGTCTGTAACCGAAATTCAAGCGGTAAGTGGAGCTGGTTCCTTCGATAGGATTGAAACTCTGACTCATCACGTTGGAGAGCAAGCCATTTTTATCGGGACGATAGATCGAGTGTGCTGTTGCTCCGCTTCCCGGCGCGAAATGAGTGATCTGAAATCCACCGAAAGGTAATGCGGCTGTCTGAGTCGAGCCAGGAGCAACGTTTCTCAGAGGCAGCGGTCGGAACTGGGGTCGGAACACGAATCCCGGACCCAGTCGCACTTGTCCGGTACTACCAGTGTAAGATGGAACCCGTCTCAAGCGACCTTTCTCCACTTCGAACGTCGGGACCGAGATGGCTTGGCCGTCAGGGAAGCTCGGGACGCTGTGGGCTGCGCGATATAGGCTCGGTCGCGACACTATTCCATTACTCTGAGAATAAGGTGTTTGAGGAGTTCTCAGGCTCGTCTGCGGTCCCTCAATGGAAATCTGCTGCCGCGGCAATTGATGGTGCTGCTGCTGAGGCGTACGAGTTTGTTGTAGATGGTGGTCCAACCGAACATACTCGAGCGTCGGATCTTGTGGCTGCTGCTGCTGCTGCGGCTCGATATTGTGGCTATCCGGCTGTCGAGCGCCTTGTTGCTCTTGTGAATAGTCACTCTGTTGCTCATTCACTCGAACTTCTCGCTGCTGCTGTTGATATGCTTGCTGTTGTTGGATAACAATTCCTTCTTGAGATGGCACTTCGACTCCCTCTTGGTGGGCGCTGGGGGAAGGTTGAATGTGCCGCGTAAGCTGTTCCGCATTGAAAGTACTTCCTTGGCTTCCGGCGGCCTGATTCTGAGCCTCGATAGTATTCACCTGTTGGAAGCTCCCGGTCGGAGCGTCTGGAGAGGGAGGCAGAGGCTCGTAGTGGGGCTCGCTGATGAGCAATTGCTCTTCCGCTGGAATTCCCGCCGGTGATGGGGTTTGAGATCCTCGAATCTGTTCGTCCGAAGACGAAGGCGCAGGCTGAGCCTGAACTTGAGCTTCCACCGTCTGTTGCTGAGGCGTATACTGCACTTGCTGAATAATCTGTCGCGGAGCGTCTATAACCTGCCCGGGAATGACCTGCTGGTTATCTGTGAGCTGATGCTGGGCTCCTGCCCCGTTGTGCACTACTTGTTGCTGCTCTTGCACTTGCACTTGGTGACTTCCTTGAGGGGCGAATTGGAGCTGCAGATGCTGGAGTCCGGGTTGAACGTTTTGGTCCAGCAGCTGAATGTGCGGTTGCAACGGTGCTCGACTGATCACTTGTTGGACTCCAGGCTGTATATCTTGCTGTTGTATGACCTGCGCTTGTTGAACTTGCTGTTGTTGAATTTGTTGCTGTTGAATTTGTTGTTGCTGAATCTGTTGCTGTTGAATTTGTTGTTGCTGAATCTGTTGCTGTTGAATCTGTTGTTGTGGAATCTGTTGCTGTTGAATCTGTTGCTGTTGAATCTGTTGCTGTTGAATCTGTTGCTGTTGAATCTGTAGCTGTTGAATCTGTTGCTGTTGAATCTGTTGCTGTTGAATCTGTTGCTGTAGATCCTGTTGCTGTTGAATCTGGTGGATCTGCTGCTGTTTTATTTGTTCATCCTGGATCTGCTCAGCTTCGAACTGCTCCTGTCGGATCTGTTGTTGTTGGAACTGCTGTTGTGGAATTTGCTGCTGCTGTTGGATTTCCTGCTGTTGAGCTAGCTGCTGATGGATCAGCTCCTGTTGGATTTGCAGCTGTTGGATTTGCTGCTGTTGAATCTGCTGCTCTTGAATTTGCTGTTGCTGGGTTTGCTGTTGCTGAATTTGCTGCTGCTGAATTTGCTGTTGCTGGGTTTGCTGCTGCTGAATTTGCTGTTGCTGAATTTGCTGTTGCTGAATTTGCTGTTGCTGAATTTGCTGCTGCTGAATTTGCTGTTGCTGAGCTTGCTGTTGCTGAATTTGCTGTTGCTGAATTTGTTGATGTTCGATTGGCTGCGGTAGCTGTACCTGACCAAGTTGTTGGAGTTGAGATTGTTCTTGGAAACTTTGCTGATGGTCTTTACCCTGATCGTGGACGAGCTGCTGCTGGGCTTGGATCAAGTTGCTCGAGAGCTGCTGCGGGGCTAGAATCTGGTTATTCAGCAGCTGCTGTTGTAGTTGGATTGAATTTTGGTCAACGAGTTGAGCGTATGGATGGATGGCCTGCGCTTGGCCAAGATTCTGATGCACAGGTGGGGGAGGAAGACCGGGGAGGAGCCCGATGTTAACCTCTTGGGGAAGGGGCTGGTGTACGGCAATGTTCTGATCAGCCTGCTTGGGAGCGTGTTGCGATAGATTCGGTAGAACAGGCACTGAAGTTGGGACTTGTTGCCCCTGCACTACTGGTCCTTGCAGGATCTCATTTGGTGCTTTCAGATCCGATTGTGGCTCAGGAGATGCCTGCGAATTCTGGGGGCCAGGCTCCTGGTATTGAGCCTGCTGGTCGGGGCTCGCCCCCGGTAAGGGTTCACCGTTGGTCGGGGTTTGACGAGGATCTTGAGTTCCGATTGCGGGCGCTTGGATCGCTTCGGAACGCGGTGCCTGTGCCACCGATTGAGTTCCTGAGCTGGGAGTCTGCTGCTGCTGATGTTGGTCGCTGCTTTGGGGAGAAGCTGCCTTCTGAACATCAGTCTCGGCGGAGTCAGCTTCGAATTGCGGATCATCGTGAGCCGGAGATGGGATCGGCGACTGCGGTCGCAGCCCGGACAGGTCCGGCGCCGGCACGATGCGGATCGCCTGATTAGATCCGGGATAGCGGGGACTCTCCAGAGACGCGTCACTTGGAGCTTGCGGGACCGGTGCGTTCGGTGGTCCAAAGAAGTCACTCGGTCCGGATACGGGCGACTCTCTCAGAGAGGGCAGTTCTGAAGACGTGGCGTGGTGATTCTGCGGTCGTTGGGGTGCTCCGAGAAGGAAAACGGGAGGCTGTTGAATTTGCCCGCTAGTAAGCGGTGAGGGTACCGTTAACGAGGGCGACAAGCCTGCCGACTGAGGGCCGACCGGTCGAGGGATCGCTGGAGCGGGTACATTATTCTGATCCATGGTAGGTCCGAGATTCGGAGCTGATTCGATAGAGACAAACTCCGATTTCGCTTTTCCAGTTTTGGAATCGAGTTGGATACCGTAGTTCTGCAGTATGTTCTTGACGAAATCATCTTCATATTTCTTGCGAGCTTCGAGGTTCCTCGCAAGAGTACCGTCATCGTCAGGGGCTTCCTCGAAGGTTGCGGATTCCAAATCGTGGATGTAAACCTGAAAACAAAATGGATTCAGCTGAACTCCGGCAAAAAATCGATTCTTGGAGGAGGGAGCTTAAAGGAGAGGGGTGGAGATCCTGGCGGGATCTCTTCGTCTGCATATGTGCGAGACGCCGTGATGCCGACAGGGCAGAATCAAAGCTCTACTCACCTTCCCGGGCGTCAATTCGACGTTACCCCCTTTCGGTCTGCTCGTTTTGCGATTTTTCTCACGAATCTTGTTCAAATCAATAGTGAACGTCTCGGTCGGCGGTTTCGGAGGAGATGATCCATTAGGTGGTATTGTCGGCGCTTCGAAGCCTTGCCGAGAAGACTTCGTACTGCTTGTGAAGCTTTTTTCCCCATCACTGACTCCGTGACCCAAGCTATTCGCGGTTGCGTCTTTGGCGTTTGATCGATTCTTAGAATTCGCTTTCATGAGCACGGGTGCTGAAAGTTCCTTATCGGAAGCTTCGAGCTGAACGTAGGAAGGGATTGATCGAAGGGGCGAGTTCGATGGTCCCTGAAGGAAATCGTTCTCTTCCGGTGTTCGCGATGATGATTGCGCAGACGGAGTAATTGGCAACAGGGCCACCATGTGATCGGGGGCGGCGTTCTCCAAGGCCGAGCCTCGCGCGGTGTCAACATCAGCGGTGCTGTTCGTCGAGTTGGTCACGGGCACCAGCTCGACCTGTACTCCGAAGTTGCGCAGAACATTCTGCAAGAAGTCGTCCTGTTTCCCGACCTTTCCCGCAGTCTTCGAACTCTCCTCAGAGCTAGGATACACTCCAGAGCCTGGCGACACCGGTGTGCTTTCGAAGCTCTCCTCCTCCGAAGGCTCAGTAGCCCGGGCTTCAGCGAGAGTTTTTGGCAGGAGAGAGTTCGCCGTCGGCTTCTTCTTCGAAATTCTCTTGAACTCGAAAACCGAGGCCAAGGACGCAGGCACGGGTTTCGGCTTTGAGACCTTTCGCTTCCGACGTGGTTTATCTTTGCGGCAGTCGAGCCCGTCCTCGGAGGATATCTCAGAGCTCTCAGAAGAGGACGAGGATGTCTCCTGAGATGCGGACGCCGACGAGATGGATCCGCTTGGATGCTTTGGTCCCTCGAGAGGGCCCGAGCGGAGGGTCTCGTCTCCACTGGACGTTTCATTCTCAACTTCGGACGTTGGAAGGCGGAGCGTGTCTCTCCTGGCATCGCCACGAGATCGGATGAGACTAGTGATTCTCTTCGGGTCGTCGACCTTTCCAGGGACGACAACTTGAGTCAAAATGTGGTTCTTCAGCACCTTAGGACCTTTCTGAGTTCGCACCACGCCAAACTCTATGAACCGCTGTCCACCGAATTGCATTACGGGGATCGCAACACCTGCGGTTTCCGGACGGGTATCTGCCCCTGGACTGGGTTCCCGATTCCAATCGGATGGAGCCGTCTTCAGGTTGTGCTGCTGCTCCCGAATGGCATTGTGCGTTTGATCGCGTTCCGCCTCGACGCTTGACGAGTTTCGATTTCCGTTCGGAATGTTTTCCACATTTTCGGTGACTCCCGTTTCGTTTTCTCGCTTGTGAGCGCTAGTGCCGCTCGTCACCGGCGCTAATTCTCTCTTTTTCCCTTGTCCGGTATTTCCATCTTCCACCGGATGCCGGTTCTTATCTGAAGTCTGCTCATTTACCCCCCGCGGCAAATCTGGATGTTGAGAGTCGGTGAGGGGACTGGATCCCATGTCAGGAATTCCGCTAACAAGATAAGCATCCTTGTGGTCTGGAGCGTTGACTCTGTCCCGAGAGAAGTACACGATGTCGTCCGTTGTCACAGGTTGGGCCTGCGAAGATGCGTCCCCCTCAATCGCCTGAGCTCGACCTGCAACAGGAACAACCTCAGACACAGTCGATATTCTTCAGATGGAGGCTCATGGAATCCGCGCAAGTCATTTTCGAATCGACTGCCTAAATCCTATCGCGAATCGATTGCGAATTCCCACCGCATGAGATCAAAGAATCGCCGGATGAGCTAGTGGGCGTAGCTCTTCAAAAAATCATGGATCGTCCAGCATCCTGATAATTCGGCACGGAAAACTGATCTGCGCAGAGGATGAGTCCTCTTTGAACGAAATCATACGGATCCGAGGTACGAAAACGCTATCGAAACGACCAGAGACTAAGGATATGTATGGGGATCGATACACAGAACCGAAAAGAACCTTCTAGAAGCGGGAAATTCTGAGACCCCCGGAGTCAGTGTGGGATAATATCGTCATTCGCAACGATCCGACAATGCTGACGACTCATGCCAGGCGCAGTAGTGTGACCACCGAAAGCGAAAGCAGCGGAAGCCGAGTGCGACGCGCATGATTTTATCACTTCGGGAGCTACGGAGGAATGCTTTCATCTGACAAATAAAACCGCCCGGGGGATCCTCTTATCGCGATATTTTCTCTCAGTAGGGGATCAGAAGAGGGGTTTGCCTTCGCTAATATTCTCAGTCCCAGATTAGAACACGACTCTGAATATCGGCTCATGGGGAGCCCAGACGCGTGCTTAGTGAATGTCGATGCTATGTTTCTATGTCGAATGTCGTTGACCAATCAGCCGGTCTTCGAGATGGATATCTTTGATGTGGAATTCCTTGACTGCCTTTCGTATGAGAGATTCCATGAAGGGAACTTACCGGCATTCGAGTGCGGTGAGGTATCGTTCGCACTCTTGCTCACTCTGCTGTCCGCTGGACTGGCCACTCTCGAAGTTATTTTATCCTCAGTGGAAGAATCGACCACGGCCGTGGAACTCCCGTGGTACTGCTCTGACGTCAGATTTCTCGGAATTACAGCCGAAGTCTCTGCGTGAGACTCTACTCTCGATCCAATCGACGGGTTCACACACAGTAGAAGCAGAACACACATGCTGACACGTCCGCTGCCCATCTCGAGGGCTGCTCTTTTCACTCCTTCAGATCCGGGAGCTTGAAGCAGCTTGCCACTGACTTGTTCACGCGAACTAACCGACTGATTTGAACGCACGTTCAGCGTCCCAATATAAAATATAGCTCTTCAGCTCCATTACTGGAAGAAGGCAGCTTCGGAAAGAGGAGGCAAATTTGTGACAACCCTTCGAAGAAGAAAGGCGAACAGAAGGACGCAGGGGCATTACTTATCACCAGTGATCACATAATCACTTGATTCATGTTCATCGGGTATGGAGGGAAGCTGGTGACTTTCAGAATAACGGGGGTACTTTGGTTTTTGGAGTGATACATCCACAAAATAGATTCGGGAAGACGTCGGATGAGCTAGATGCCGTGTATGAAACTTCCGGAGATCTCGGCGATTCGCAACGCACTGGGAGCGCCGTAAATCGAGTCCAAGGCGCTCGTGTTCCCTGGTCGTCATGCAAAACAGAATGATTGGGCAGAGAGTCGCGGCTAGAAAACGTCCCGTCACGAGTTGTAGGTCGCTCTCACGCTAACCTGAGAAATCCTACTGAGGGTTTGTGAAATCGCTGGGAGGTCGATAAGGGGACCTGAGAACCGCGAATTAGCGATCGATGGAGATTGTGCCGATCGAGGGTCTGTGAGGTTCGATTTTCCACGAATTCCCATAAGTTTCCAAACTCTGTGGCTACGCAATTCGGGATCTGTGCTCGACCGATAGGAAAGCAGATGGGAATATACCTGCGGCAAACGTCTCGGACAAAATCGAAATTCATTATCATCCAATCAGCGGTCTAGGGACATGTCCGGATTCCGGATACTCACCTACGCCTCTCTATTGAGATCAATCATTTGTGGTATCTTACGGCGGTCGATCGTCGTCTCTGGGTATTTTTTCATTTTTGATCGTGCTTGAAGGGAGTCATCAACGTCACGACCATAGAAATTTGCCTGCTGTGACCTCAGAAATCTGGTTCAGGCGTTATCGCCGACCGGTGGATGCCATGCTCGGACGAGCTTGACACACTGGTCATCAGGGTTTGACGACAATCGATCTTTCGGAGCACCTGGTGTCGGGAACTTTCAAGCATACCGTCAATCACTTCCGGCTAGAGAGCTGAGGGTGCTTCAGAATCTGTTCCGACGGGAGCACATCGAGCATGAAGGTGGTCTCAGCTCTCGGAGCTAATCCAGTTTGAGCTACCGATGGCTGAAGGAGGCTCGAAATACCATAAATGTGTCTACTTGAGCTCGTGGGCTGTCCTGGGAGTCGTCACGAATCTTGAATCGAGAATAGAATGAACATCGAGGGAATCGAATCAATGTCGGTGAGTCGATCGAGCTCCAGTCTTTGGGGCAGGTATCCCGGGAAGGATAATTCGACAATGTTTTGTGAAATTCGACAGCATTATAGACGTCAAATATGGAGGACCTGCCGCAGAGATATTTCGTCGCGGGGTGTTCACTATATTTTCTCTAGAATCTGATTAGCCGACACTCCTTGATGCTCGTAGTCAGATCTGAGTAGAGCCGACGAGGGATCAGGGGGAACTCGCGATCCCCCTTTTGAATACGGCAGAGGAGCGTATCTACGGGCTACTAGGTGAACGTGATAGAAGTGAAGAGCGTCTACCGGTCGAGCACCACAAGCGTCTTTCCAAAGCAGGAGCCTAAGGGCGCTCGCCCGTGCCAGGCGCTGCGGTTGATGAAATCGTCCGGGGCATCCTTACGGGCCGACAATCAAGGAGTGTGGAGTTTGTTTACAGGAATCACGTTAACGGAAAATCGTTGGGACGGTGATATGCCATGGAAAGATATTGGACCCAATGAGTGCGGTCAAGAAGGCCGGTGGTGTCAGTAGACGATGGAAATCTCAGAGCCGCAGCCATACCACAGATAGTCTCTCCACGGATGATAGACAACATCCAAGGAAAATTCCAAGGAAGCCCTCTTCGCAGATAGCGCTTTGCGACAAACCCTAACTCGACGCGAAACTACTCTGACCATCAAAAGTTGTTCACATCGTTGGAAAGTATGAACATTCGCCCGACCATCGCCTCTGGAGCGACTCGAACATTTGTTTCCCTGGAATCACAGCCGAATCGAACATTCGGATAGCTCACGATCCATGTACACTCGATTATATGTCACTCGATGTACATCAGCTCCTCGCGTGCAGCACAACCAAAGATGGTACAGATTTGAATTGTTTCACATGGCCGCTGATGAGGCCGACTTCCCGCGTCGCTTCCACCCGGCGGTACCTTCCGGACCTGGAGTCTGCTTCGGAGTTCCCGGGCCAGGCCTCGCTATCCGGCTCGGATCTTCCGTTTCAAGGGTTCTGGGCGTCTCAACGATTGATCCGATCTTCCGTATTCGATGAGCAGCCTGCAACAGGACTCCAAAAAGACAACAAAGGCTCCTTCTCCAAGGTTTCAATCGTGAAAAGTGTTCGTGTATACCCGCAAGCCTTTCTTTTCGGAGGCATCGATTCAGAGCGCCCAGGTTTGCCTAGGGCACGGTGTTGTGTCGCTGGGATAAGGGTTTTCTGAGGATGGGGGAAGACGGCACCGCGATTAAGCCGAATCTTGAACCAGAGAATCCCCGGAAGCTGAGTTCCGATCCGGAACCAGGAGCCGACGCTAAGCCTCCTTAGAAAGTGGCCGCCAGCTTAGCTCTCTTCTGACAGACACAAGGTATCCTTGAAACGCTTGCTGCTCACCTGGGAAGTGGGTCGCCTCCCAAGTGTGTTCACGTATCTCTCTATTTATCTGATCCTGCGAGATGCTTTTTCCATGATCTCGCGCGGACTGCGTCAACAGTCCGAGTGAAAGGTATCGAGGATTCCTTGAGATACCGACCCGTTAACTACATCGTAGTTTTTCGCGGTGTGTCATCAGAGAATACGTGCCCGCGTGCGATCTGAATCGTCGACGGGAGCCCTTGTTTGACGGAAAAACGTCCGAGGCCTTTGTGCGGAGCGTGAAAATATCTTCGTAAATCAGATTACTCGCGTTTTGCGCGCAGCTGATGCACTGTAACCGATGAGACTAACGACCCTTAATCATTGCGAACAGCGACAGAAGCCGGATTCGGAAATGCCACGACCTTGATTGTACAAAGAAGGTACATTGAAATGCCCTTCAATCACGTTCATCTACTTCGAAGAGCTCGTGATCCATTTTTCCTTCGGAAAACATCTTCGACAGCCTTTTATGTCTCATGCGAGCCTTCAAATAAAGAAAAGTGAGCGCATGACCCGGGACGACATTCGACAGTGTAGGCGCGCTCCGAACCTCGGATCCCTTACGGAGAGAATTGGGAAATTCAGCGTTCTCCACGTCGCCCATCGGGAATGGGAACCACTCGATCGGAGCCATGGATATCGATGATGCATAATAATAGATGCATCAACTTCGAACCCCTACTCCCGGATGACAAACGTAATGCGAGACACCAGCTGCACTTTCGGCAGACATCGGTTCAAAACGGAGAGTTACGTAATTGATGCGGTGATATCTTCAGTGATGACGACGCCTCATTCCGTCTCTTCGGAAGTTCGATCGATTCTAGTGTCTATTCGGTGCTTTGGCCCTACAGCCGTAGCTATCTACGTGATCGCATGCCGCTCAGTGCGCTGAGGGGTTATCTGTTCCCGGACGGATTTGTAGACGACACCGGGAGCTCACTGACTGACTGGATCTGGATCCCAGATCGGAGCCGTACGAGTGTCTATCGACTCGCTTGATACTAAAATTGCGGGCTTTCGCAGACGCAGTTTCGAAAGTTTGACCTGTGCGTGCCGTCACGTGATAGGGCATTTACACGGAAGAATCGGTGGATGTCATCGAACATTGATATTATATTCCGTGGAGAGGACAGTGTCGAATGAGAAGCGCCTCATTATGCGAGTGCTTACCGAAACGATTACGAGAGGGATCGGACAAGAATACTTCATTCAAGTGTGTGTCTGTAAACATGAACGAGAACGTATCGATTCGCGCTGTTATCTCGAGCTTCACACGGCTTGTGAAATTCGGGCACGGGCTTTTCGGAAGCTCTGGATCTCGCTCGTCCGTTGCCATTGGACGGCGAGCGTTCCGACCAACAGAATGAAGATTTCGACTCATTGAGACCACGACCACGACCACGTGAGTCAACATTCCACGCTTCGTGAGAGATTTCTCCACCGCGTTCAAGCCACCAGCCGGTGGAAATCGCGGCAAAAAGGCAAGGTTTCCCTCTATGAGCTCGAGGAAATATTATGCACTCGGACTAATCCACTCTCGATAATCGAATGGTGATACGAGAAGACAGACTTATCAGCTAGAAGGTATCGACTGCACGCTCTGCCGGTGTCAGACTGTTTACAGAGAAAACCGCTCATTCTGCATGATCAGCATGATCTAATGACCGAAGATGACGCTGCTGACCACCGAAGCGATAGCCAACGCAATCATATTTCCTGGCGATCGATGGACTGAGAAGCTGAACGATTCCAGGGCAAAAATCATGGAAACTTCAGAGTTATCTGAATCATTATTCGGGCGTCAGATATCGGTGCTACTTGTGGATTCGCCTCCCGCACTGAAGCTGGTGGGGTGAAAATTATCGCTTCTACTGACACTTCCATCGGAACGATTGAGCCTCCTTCAGCGAGGCGCCTCGCGTAGAATTCTGGAACAATTCACCGGGACGGCCCGCTGTGAGCGGAGCCGTCCGGTCAATGTTTGGTCTCTGTGTGACGTCCGCATGAACGAAATAGAAAGTTCAGCCGGAGTCTCGGCTTCCAAGAGACGCTCTGGGCGTCGCTTCGAAGAGTTGCTCTTCCCAAGGACGCCCGGCTGCATCTTTCTGCCTGTCATGACCGCACCACCCGACAAAAGAGGCGAGTTCGCCTAAGTCGGAGACTCGAACTAGTTTCCCATCGATTCCCCCGTCCAAATGTGAGTGTTGGGACTTTTTCTCCTCATCTACAGAGGAGAGCAAGCACGCGGGCCTGGCGGGGAGGTCAGGCGATAAGAAGAACTTCTCATCGAAGACGTGAATTCCGGATAAAATGAACGATTTCTAGACGTTCCAAGCGTATCTTGAGCTGAGCCTCGCATCGGGCACAGCCTGGACGCCGCGAAGCATATCTTCAAACTATCACAGCAAACTATTGTCCTGCTTTCGACCTTACTCGATGACCGCTCGACGGATTCGAAGCAACTCGTTCACTTCTTCGAGTGGAAGGTGCCCTGAAGCGATCTCCCCGATAATGAAGCGCAAGCTGATCGAGATCCTTCAGGAACGAAAGTTCGGATGGTGCTCGGTGAGTGGCGCAACCCGGCTTCGACACCGAACTCCGTTGCCTATCTGGAACGAGGAAGGTCCCGAAAAAGAACGATCCACGTTGAGCGGCACACTTATTCCGCCATGCAGTCTCTTTCGAAGACTGTGTCAAGACCGGTGGGCTCTCAGCGGTCTATCAAGCTCTTCTCGTGAAGATATCGAGATGAAAGCCGCATATGTATCACACCACTATCGCGTGTCTACCTAATTTCGACTCCATCAGCGACACTGTCGCGATCTCACTAGGCAAAGGTCTCCTGTGAAGGAATATCCCTACATTGATGAAAAGCGATGGGCGATTCATTTCGATACTTTACGGGACTCTCTCTCTCCCGGATTTATCCCATTAATGATATATGTAGCCCTTAAACAAACGAGTCAACGAAAATAATCTCCCTGAGCTCCGGAAAGATGCTTGCTACCTTAGCTCTGCTGGCATTATTCGATTCGTTCTGCCGGACGGGGGGAGCGTGTCGAGGGTAGAATTACGGCGGGATGATCACGTAATCGATGTCGGGTGAGCACCGATGTCACAGCGGCCCTACCACGACTGGACGTTGATAAGCTAGCGAAGTCGAAGCGTAGAAAATACATATGGGTGTTTTTATGCCGCAGTCCTTCTTTCATTTGATACGCGAGGTCATCGGTACACAATTAGACCCGAGACTTCTCATGTGTGATAAATGAACAAGTTTCTCTGTGACGGAATCCGGTACGAATGTCACAATGATACCGATCCCAAACTAATATGAGCGGCCATCGGATCAAAATTCAACGAGCCGATACTACGCATCCAACAATGTATTCGCGACGGGCCTGCCATCCAGTCGGGGTATCGTCAGGTGGAGACACGCGATGGGTTCAGCTCGACGATCGAAGAGAGGAGAGAAACATTCTGCAGAGGAACTTCCGTTCCGACTCGAGATGCGATTGCGCATTGCTGCTTCCGAGAAAGGCCAGTTGATCTCCCGATTCTGCTTGATCATCAGAAGGTCGACTCATCTTTTGCAGGTTTCAAGTTTCGTCCGAAAGAGGAAAACATTCGATATTCAATGCCGGAGCCATGATCTCTGTCCGGTGCGCTCGCAACCGGTTCCCCAACTCATTTTGCCCAACGAATCAGATTCTTTCCTCGGGAGAGCGCCGATTCACTGTGTAGGCGGGGGGGGGGTAAATCCGAGGAATCTTTCTCCAAGGCTTGGATCACGACACACCCCGCGCGCATCAGAGCTAACCATGATCAGATAGTGGGATAATCAAATCAAAGTATTGGCAACCGGAGCTCGAAGCCTGATTCTATGAATATTTGCTTGAGACAGAGGCGGCTCTGGGGAAGCAAGAGGGTCGACAGAATAAGCCTTCATCGAGGCATCCCAGAAGGGTCCTTGATCCGAGTTTGAGACTTTGGTCTCATTCAGTTCTCCTCGCAAATAATCCGACGACAGGACTGTCAGACGGGCAGAGGCTTGGAAGCTACATTTAAGAGGATTCCGAGAGATTCATGGGCGTCGCAGTCCAGGGATAGGGGGTATCCGAGAACAACGTCCTCCTGTCGAATCAACTGCATATGTTCAGGGAATTTCCATCGATAAACTTCGGTGTAGATACATCGGAAATGAGAAGAATATCACTTGATCAAAAGAGACTCCCCCGTACCACTCATCTACCAGCTGTTCGGCACAGTTTCTTTTTATATGCGTGATATTCCAGAATTTTCTTGAGAGCTCATTCGCTCTCGAAACCGAGTACACAGTTCATGAGAGCCCTGCAAGGCGGCAGGAAGAGCCATATCTTCTTTCATTCGAGTGCTGGACTTTGAACAAAAACAAGCCCTGTTCGTCTGTCGGTCCCGGTGTCATCGAATGAGCTGGAACGGGCTCCGATTGTGTCGACCGAAGAATATTCAAATCAGCAGTCTGAGGTGAAGTGGAGCTGCGAGAGCACTGCTAAACAGCGGCTGATCCCTTATCTTCCGATCTCGAGAAGACTACGTTTTTCGGGATTTGGTTTCCTGACGATTGCCATCCCCGATATCGACGGGAAGTTTGTGGTTCTCGCTCTAGTTGTCCACGCTCTGAGAATGATACCGCCAGGTAGTTACGGTGGAACGAGCCCGATCCTAGCGAAAGTCCGGTGCAGCTGCTCGAGCAACTAGCCGGTCAGTCGGTTTCCGTCTAGTAGTTTTTTTTTCTGGGTTTGTTCGCGGTTCAAAGGTTTCCTTTTTCTTCTGGCATCGGAATGCCCAGTGAGCTCGCTCGTCGTTGTTCGCGTCATCGTCTCCTCAAGTCGGAGAAGGACCGCGGGCCTCTTAAATGCTTTTCGCCCCTTGGACCATTCAGATGCTCCGGCCGTCACCACTGCTGACGACGCGCCGATCACTACCGTCGCTTGGGCTCACCGGCCCAGGGATGAGACTGGCCGGGGCAGATTTAAAGCTTTCTCGGGAGTTCTTCTGTCGGCCGGCCGTTCCCTGAATCTGCGACGTAGCTCCAACCATATGGGCGGAAGAAAAACAGCTGAAGGCTGATTCTCCTCACAGTTGGCCTCTTGTCAGCTGATGAGAATTTCTACGCGAGCAGACTTACGAGGCGGGGACGCTAGATCCCGCAAAATGATCCTGAGGTTTCGATCGGGCTCCGCAGGGCTCCCGACGGGTTCAGAATAGCAGACTTCTCGCTGTACCGACCTCAGATTATAACAGCTTCAGAGGATTCAAGTTTGGAGGGAATAGCTTCCCGAGGCTCTGCAGTCACTCTCCATATTTTTCAAGCAACGGTGGAGCAAAGGAAGTGTAGCTCCAAAAGAGGCGGGGGTTTTTTGACTCAACGACACAGTCCTTAGATGATTATTTTTGCAGAAGGCAGCGCTCTCGTAGATAATGCATTACATCCTCTGCGCCGAAAATTGTTCTGCTCCATCTACAGCGAAGGCATTGCGTTCAGACCGCTCTTCAAGTAAAAGGGTTTGACCGCTCGGCTGGAACAATGCCAGCGCGAAAACATTACTCTCACTTTCTAGACAGCTCGCTTCACCGTCTGGCATCCAGACGAAGATTCCCATTCCCTCGCCCTCAGCGGAAACTTCCGTCGAATTTGGAAGTGCGGAGAAAAACTTGATTCACCCCGTGTCAAAAAGAATGAAATGGGTGTGGACATGGTCGTGCCTGATTTAAAGGACGATCGAACCCGCTGAGGAATCAGATCGCTCAATGAACTTTCGGAATTTATGGCGCGGAGGGCTTCTCAGCGGAGTTTTCATTCCATGAGGAGCTTGTAGCATTTCCCAGTGGAGCTGTGCGATGGTGAATGTCTGCTTGTCCACAGAAGATACAATAATTCAGCGCGAGCTGAATGGACACAATGGAACTATCCATGTTAGCGGATAATAACGGAAAGCTTATGATCACAGTCGAGCGACCTCGAAGAGGTCAGATTCGCTTGCGTGTACTGTGGGCAGTTCAAATCAAAGTAGCGAAAACCTGTGGAGGACAAGATCACAGCTTGCATAGTCCTCATCCGATCACGGACCCCTCCAGGCGAAGCTTCGTGAATCCAAGATCTCAGAAGCCGAAACTCACAGATCCGGGAGCGTGTCGAGGCTCCGAGTTAGTTCCCATTGGGTGCCTCGAATCTGATCTTCAATGACCTGATGCGGGACCGAACTGATCCTTTGATGACATGAGTCATGCCTTCATCTCATATCGGACTCTTTCAGTCGAATGTCATCTGAGCTACGGACGATTCTGGTTTCAATATTCTGATTCATTTGTATAGTGGATAAAGAGCCCTCCGATACTTTCGGGCCTGGATTCAGTGGGCTCTTCTACCCGTGGAGACTTTGACGTTCCCCGCTCACGGAGAGGGCAATGAGAGCAGAAGGAGAGACGGCGAAAGAGCGAGGTGGAGAGGAGCGTGGGCTCGAACCGGAATAAAAGCGGCTCAAAACTTTGAGATTTACAGTCAACTCCCGACACATCTCAAGGTGAGTTAGAACCACGGAGCCACGAAGTTTTCTCTCGTTTGTTCGAGTAGCTCATCTGCCGGCTCGACTCTCGTATACATGGTCGAGTGTATGGACCGTCGAATCATTATTTCGTTTCACTCGATCACAGCCTCCATCCATCATGAAGACTTTCTTCGCTCTTGCTCTGGTCGCCATCAGTCTGGTCGTCGTCAGTGCTGACAGCACCGACACCGTGATCAAGGGTTTCTCCGAGGCTCTCTCCAAGCTCGACATCCCCGCAGACCGCAAGGAGAAATACCAGGTGAGCAGGAACTTGAGGCCAACAGCTCGGTAGGGAAGAGCCAAACACTGTGTCTCAAGCTCTGTCTGGCTTCTGGGGATTTCGGTGTCCGGCGAGAGCTTGTGCGAGGCGCTCGCTCCGAGGATTTCCGTTAGCTGTCAGAAAAGTGTTGACCGTTTGCTCCGCGATTCAGGCTGGACTCCAGAAGGCTCGTGCCTGCATCGAGCCCCTCGTCAAGGACGCCGATGCGGACAGGATCTCCGACTACGTCAAGAAACTGACCCCCGTCGTCGCTGAGTGCTCGAAGGTTATCAAGACCCTGCCCGAGACGCAAGTCAAGGAACGTCAGGAGGCTTTCGGAGCGTGTCTCAAGGAGAAGGTCCAGGGAGCTGACTCGCAATTCGACGACAAGCAGAAGGAAGTCCTTCCCAAGCTCAAGGTCTGTGTCATCGACGCCTTGAAGGAATAAGTTATTCCGTTGATTGTTGTAAGAAACTCACAATGTGCATACGTACCCGGAACGAACTTCTTTCAAAAATCAATTTGCCGTTGAACGCCATTCGTTGCATCCGATCAAAGAAACGGATCAAATAAAAAAAATGTTCTCAGAAATTCACTGGGAGTCTGTTCTTCTTTCCTATGAGTATCGGGGAGAAGGCCTCACTTGCATGGTTGTCCGAGCTCGGTTGCTCATCGGCTTCGCCTCGAGATCGGGGTAAGAAGTCTCTTCTCGGGACAATAGGGAGTGGAGACACGGAGCCGATGACTTTGGAGGGCAGCTTAAAGGTGGAGCACTCCAGACCCATAGCGCGGCTTTTCGTCGGTTTTAGAAACGCGAGCTCTCGGGAATAGCAGCGGACGCGACGCAGGTACTGCGATCCCTCGAGTGATGAATATCCTCGACAATGCTCTCGCTCGTGCGCCTACCGAGTCCAACGCGTCGCCACTCCCCGAAACCATTAGACCTGCCCCTGCTGGACACCTCTAGTTTTCGTGCCGGCACATATTGGCTCAACGTCTCGATATTCCTGCATGACGCGTCAAGCGGATACGCTTAGAGGGATTTAAGAGATTTTTTGAATGATTTTCGTAGGAATAAGCATGCGCTGTGGATGCTGGGAGCTCTGTGGATATCTTTCAAAACGAGAACGACGTCGGTATCGGCCTGTTTGATCTTGGAGCGTCGGGAAAATGCTGCGCCCACCTACGTACCACGGCTCTACAGCCTGACGTCTCCCTAGCCCACGAAGGACGTCGAGTCGGAACGACGCAAGAGGCCCCCGGATGGACGGTGGCCAGAAATATGTGGAGGGGGAGGACAAGCCTGTTGGAATAATGGGAAAATCAAACGTGGACGACCTGCTGAAAAATCACCTCGGGAACAGTGTCAGTAGAAAATGAGGAGGATTTGGATCAATGAAGACCACAGAGCGATCGAATGTGAGGATCAATGATCACGAAAAATCGATCGTCCAGTGAATCCCTCCGCCGCCCCCCTCCGTCAGACGCTCTACGTACAAGGGTAGGTTCTCCATTAGGTTATCTGGCATCGAGTTCGACAAAGCTTTTCACTTGCTTGCACGTCGGCGTCGCTTCCTTCGGATGTGCATCCTCGAGACGTCTATCGAATCTGGCACGCGTGTCATGTCGCGTTAAGTCTCGGAGGGGCTCGTTTTATTCAATCGAGGACTTCTCACCTCGTGCAACTCTCGCCTCGTGAGAATCGTGTGGGCTATCCCGTAAGTCGTTCAAAGAAAGTGAGTCGGTTTTGCGATCATGACTCAGCTGATCCGGACCAACTGAGCATTCAGACTTTTTCATATTGAATTTTCTGAGCCAAGCTGACAAGTTCGATCAGGATCCGTGAATGGAGGCTCCAGCGGAACAGCGGCTAGCGAAAGTCAGCGAGAACGAACGGAGAAAAATGGAGGGGACTTCGACGGAAAGTCACTACCTACGTCTTTTGAAGATTCTCGCACCTCAATTCCAGATCGTTCAGCGGACCTTGACCGTGAGAATGTGTCGCTTCGACGAGACCACCGAGAAAAGGATCTTAGAGGTCTCAGAGTATTTATATAAATACTTCGACGGAGACCTTGCTGAAACATATCAGTGCGTCTCTGAGTATATTACCCTAATTCTTTCCAGATTCGGATTATTGTTTCCTTGGGTCTTACCATAATCAGTCTCGGGGGACTAATGAAATGTCCAATCTATTTCAAGGGCGGCCTACAAGGATCGAGCGTTCGGAAAGCCGTGGGAGCCAGAGCAAGTTAGCGCTGCAGCTCTCGAAGCCCTGATTTCACACTGCGGAACTGTAATTTCACCTTTCGATCGGTTTCGGGAAGTATGATGTTTTCCAATGCCTCTTTCGACTTCTCGATCCTATGATCGGGCATTCCTCTGCAGATTCAAACAGGAAGCGAACCTGCTCGGGATGGATCGACGTCTAGAGCCGAGAACACCTCTTCGGAGGTTTCCCGTGAACAGCCGCAGGTGGGTATTCCGATTTGATCTCTGTTCGAACGGCTCGTCTAATCAGCAGGCTTGAATAGCTTCGAATGCAGTCCTCGGAATCATCAGCCTCGGTTTCCATTCTCCGACAAGAATTCGTCGATCTGGACCGCGAGGATAGTACTCCTCCGGAGGCGCGGATCTCGCATTCAGATGGCGACTCGGAGCGGGGGGATCTTGGGTGCCTTGCCGCGGAGGATCAGGGAGTCCATAGCGTTCAAGTGTAACGCTTTGATCTTCCAGGTTGTTGAGCGGCGACATCTCGCGGAGATTCCTCAATACGACGAGAGCACGGAGAAGATAAGCGCGGACCTCGCGGAACTTCTCTTCGAGATCTTCCCCTATGAGTCGAATGTCGCCGAACACTATCAGTGCGTCTCTACATTTTCCCTCATACATTCTGAGAAAATAGGTTTCGTGATAGGATGCCCCCCGAATGGTCAAGCTCAAAATTTGTCACTTTCTCCAAGGTCGACGCACAAAGATCGAGCGTTCGGGAAGCCGTGGGAGCCAGTGACATTGAGCGCAGAAGCCCTCGAAACCCTGATATCACACCTCGGAACTGTAATCTCACTCATCGATTTGCTTTGGCAAGAATTTTTCAATGGTTTCCTCCAGATCGCCTCATTGAACATGATTCGATATCCCCACAGGCCCAGAGTGAAAGACTACCGAATGATGTTCATGAACAGGCGCCGGTAAGCATCCCGATTCAAGCTTGAATGAGCTCGGTCCAGACGATTCATCGCTTCAGCAGCTAGATGGCTCTGACTCGAGGCCCTAGGTCCGCTCCGGAAGTAGCTCAAGGCCATCAGTTTCGCTCTTTTCTGGGCGAAGGAAATTCTTTGATTGCTATCTCCGGAAGGGAAATCGCCTCAATAAGGTCATCCCGATGCCTGATTACTTTCTGGGAGCGAAGGGAATCGGGGGATCAAGTTGATGAAAATCGAGGAGTCTATCACGCTTCACGCGCCAGACACTGATCTTTCAGGTCGGTGAGCAGGAGCATCCCGCACAGATCCACCGATTCGATGAGAGCACAGAGAGGAGAATCGCGGAAGTTTCGAGGAATTTGTTCCAGACCTTCGACCACTTCAACCTTGCCAAAGCCTATCAGTTCGTCTGCTCAAGCTCTCAAAATTATTTATATCAGAACTCTAACATGGGACGCTCTACGAAAAATCGAGCTCAAATCTATGATTCTCTTCAAGTGCGTGGTACAGGGAGGGAACATTAAGACAATCGTGGCAGCCGCGGCAACTGACCGCTAAGGAGCTCAACGCTGTGGCTTCGTACGCTGGACAGGTAATGTCAGTCGCTGAGCCGAACGCGATTTTTTTTTGGTTTTCAGACAGCAGACTGATAAAGTCGAATTTCATCGTCTCATAGGTCACTTGCGACCAAGTTCGGAGAGGAACGAGATGGACTGCCGCGTCTCTCTGACTTGAGCCGGTACAGCTTAATGCTTCCATAAAATCGCTCATGGAATCTGTCTGGGCGGAATTCCTTGATCCGAAGCCGGTTCAGACTCTCGATACGAATACAGGGTCTGCGTTGCAGGTCACTCACGGACCAGACGATGCCGTCCTTCACGGTATGGCCAAGAGCGGGGAAGGAGCCCCCTCTCTACGTTCTCTCGAAGAAACCTACGTTAGTCTTTTGGGGCAAGCACCTATCGCCTTCGAGCTCGATCAAGAAGGCATTCTATCGAGACTACAGCGAGATGCAAGCGAGAGGGAAATTTCCACGGGGGTGAGTTTCATGAAGGTATTATTATTACTGTCATTATTATGGAGGTACATTCCGATGCGCGATCCCGACACCATATCTACGTAGTTCCTTCCGCAAGCTCCGCCGCCGCGATCCGGGGTCGCTCGATCTGATAGCGCTCCGTGGCGCACCCTTGGAGAGATACATGGGACCAAGCATATCTGAAGCTCGAAACATTCCTTATCGGAAGCTTTTTCAGCGATCCGGGAGCCTCTGAAAGCCAAAATCGATTCGAGAGGGCTTCATGGATGAACGTGATAGCAAGCTCGGTCCTCTAAACAGCTCATTTTCTGATACTCAGCGGCACTCGTGATGTCCAAGTTTTCGCCGCGAGATGTTGCTTTCAAAATGGTCCTGACTTCATAACTATTGTACAACTTACAAGACTCATCTGGATTGTGGTAGTTGATCAAGATACTGGAAATATTTTTCAATCATATAATGAAAAGAAAGGAGTCGTCGGGGAGAGTCTCGTTCACCATCGACAGGGGAATCTTGAAAATTGTCATCGAGGTTTTTTATAGTCTGTTGTCGAGTCGAGAAGGAGAGCTCTACCTCTAATCAAAATAAATGGAATACGAAATTTATGCCGAGACCTGATTTCCTCCTCCGCGGTAACAGTTCTCGCGAGCCTTAGCTTCGCCATTGGACCTCGACTACCATCGAGAAGATAAGTCGTGCCGTGTAAGAGGTTATTGTGATAAGAGGCTGAAGATCATGCCAATTTCCGGAGTGCGATCTTCTCGGTTTTAGGGAAGGCTCCGAATCTTGGTTCTTCGACTCGATGTCCGTGGTTCGTGGGCTCAGACGCGTAACCTTCCGAAGTTTCGGTCACCATCGGAGCTTACCAGTACATCCTCGCATACTCCCATCCTCCAAAATCGAGTAATGCACCGACCAGGCTGAATCGCCGCCAATGCGAGAAAGAGCGAGCGAAGTATATTAGACGATGACTGCGTCGCTCTGGATCTCTCTCTCGCTTGCCCAAGTACCTACCAAGGACCGGAGCAGAAGAACGAATCGACCCGACAGGAGAGCCCGCGGATAACTTCTCAATCCCTGTACTTTATCACTATACAGTCGGCGAATCGAAACTTTCCACGAATGGCGCGCGACCAGGATCGGACTTCTAAATGCACCCAAGATTTCTTGATTGATGTCTGGGATTTCATTCGGGTGCGAGATTGATTCCAGTCTCCGAGCGACGATTAGCACCGTGACTAGCAGAGCCGTGGAAATCCTCCCGAATTATTAGTACCCGGCTTCCACCGTGCGTTGCTCAGACGATACCTGCTCATACGTCGCCGGATGACACATCGTAAATGGATGTCTCGCGTTCTCAAGTCATGTCCCTCCCGTCGTGAGGGTTGCCTCGATGAGCGGATGAGCCGAGTTTCGAGGGAATCCACGCGGATCGCGATGCGACGGGTTTGGTGAAATATCGCAAGGGTGAAACATCAGGATTCTGCTGTGATGGCATCCTGGGCCTAGCAGCCTGCATAGAGAAAAAAGAAAGTCACTCTCGTGACTGCACAACTCGATTGTTCCACGGTACGAGTGAATATCGTTCGCTTTGGGAGGCACGGAAGCTTCACAAAAAAGTCCGTGATCCACCTTTTCGAATGGTCCCAAGGGGCGGAATCGTTGAATCGCCTGATGCATATCCGATTTATCCTCCGACTCTGGTGATGGATTAACGGTTTCGCGCAATCAATACACACATACATATGTTCATAGGTCCGGGAACCCACAGAGTGAATAAGGAGGGAACCGCCCGATTCGTCTGAAATCATCTGTGCGGATCAGCGTCATCATTATCATAATACGCCAGGTTATCGATTCCCAGGCCCAGGCTTTCGAGGCCGCCTTTGTGTCCTACTCGAATTGAAGCGGAGCTGTGTCAGTATTATCGCCTAAATGTGAGCGGGTTCCTAGTCGAAAAACGCGGATGCGGGCCTAGGCTCTTAGTATCAGCGTGTCATATGGAAGGAAACCTCCCGAGAAGAATTTCCTCATGGGAAGAATGTCTGATGATATAGCTCAATTTGCAGCGTACGCCATGGACAACGTCGTTCTGCTGACGGCGATTTTCGCCACCATCGCTGTGCTCGTCTTCCTGTTCTTGTATTTGAAGAATGCCTCTCGCGGCAATCCTGAGGGCAGGACCCGGGCTCGAGCCGCAGCGGTAAGCTCAATTCAGATGAAACTCAATCCATAACCTTCATCATGGGGAGATGGCTTCGACACCTATATTTCTAATCTCCGCAGGTCGATAGGGAGGATACCGGTGGGGTCAGACGCGTTGTGAGAAATCGCGGAGCGAGGAATCGTATGCGTGGTGGTGGAGCTGACGACGACGAGGAGGTCGGAGCGAGGGAACAGCAGGTCAGAGAGCTCTTAGAAGAGAACGACATAGAAATGCCGTCGGGCAAGATCGGGACCAAAAAACTGCGGAAGCTCGAGGAGAAGGCTGAAAAACGACGACTCAGGGAGCTGGAACTCCAAGAGCGCGAGGAGCGGAAGCAGAAGCAGGCCGATGAGGACGAACGACGGAAGAAAGAGGATCAAAAACGAGACGAGGAGGAGAAGAGACAAGAGGAACTCGAACGGAAAGCTAAGGAGGACGCGGAACGCCGTGAACACGAGGAATACCTCAGGATGAAGGCTGCTTTCGATATCGAAGAAGAAGGATTTGATCAGGTGAGGATCTCTGTTCTGGAATCAAGGGATCGGGATCGATTGCCGACTTTTCGGGATCATGAATATTTTTACAGGAAGAAGATTCGCCGGGACGATTGACTGAATTCATAAAATACATTGATGAGCAGAAAGTGGTTCAGCTGGAAGACCTTGCAGCTCGTTTCAAGTTGAAAACACAAGACTGCATCGACAGGTGAGCTCCGCTCTCGACTTTGTGCTACGAGATCGCTCAGGAAGTTCGGCTGGAGAAATTCTAATTGGGTTCGACTTCGCAACCGAACTGATTCTGCGAAATGGCCGATCGATCATTGATATTCGCTCCATCTTTCAGATTGCATCGCATGATAGAAGAGGAATCGATCTGTGGCGTCATCGACGACCGAGGTAAATTCATTTCAATCACCAAGGCGGAGCTGGAAGAGGTCGCCAAATTCATCAAGGTACGGTCGTTGTCTTTCTTCATCTCGAGAACTATCCTCAGCCTCCGCTTGAGCTCACACAAATTCTTGTTCTCTCACTTCGTCTTGCATAAATCTCATAAACGCCGATATTCCAGCTCCGAGGTCGGGTTTCTATTCAAGAACTGGTCGAGAATAGTAATCGGCTCATCAATCTCTCTGTGAGCGTTTAGATACCTCCCGATCGGAAACGGTGATATGTGTCGCGCGGGATCATTGATGTGATATATAAATATATAAATAAATAAATATACTTTTTCATCTACACGGGAGGTGCGATTCAAGGACCTCTGCAAACACTATCCGGAGAGAGACATTTCGAGACATTAAAACTTATTTTTATTTACAACTTTTACAAATATCATTCAATTCCCGATAATAAGGTATTTGTTGTTTATAATGAAGCTCACTGATTCGGTGATGGAAATGTCTTACTATACAGTGGCGTGTATATACGAAGAACAGTTGATCCTCTTGAAGCCCATGACGGGCTCGTGATCGCGAGAGTGGCCGTAAATACCTCTCATGGCATTTATCTCACACATTATTTTGATACATCTTCCTTATCCTCTCGTCGCAATAATTTAAGGGAAAGAACAATAATTCACATTTAGATTGCGTTTAATACACGCAGGCAGCTCCGCTTCAACACCGACCCACACGTCGGAGAAGTACGCGTCGGTTTCCATTCGTTCCAAAAAGCTGTGAGTTCCAAAGAGAATTTCCAGGAATCTTCCTTGTTTGGGATCCAGGCTGCTCGGAAAAGCGACTTGTGAGCTCAGTGATGACTGTCCCATTCCGAAAACACCATAATTCGAGATCATTTCCACACTTCCCTCGAGGAACTCCGCCTTTTTCCATCCTCATGTTCCTCAGAATCACCACGCAACGATCTTTGATCTCAATAATCTAATGTCACTCTGGATTCCGATTGGAGAATAACATAAAGACGAATCAACACTTGTTCTTGGAGGTGTGCTCGGCAATCAACTCTATCAACCACGCAACAGAATCTATACCCTGACTATCACACGCATATTTGTCGGAGACCCCCATTGGTGAGCTGAAAGCCGCCAGGCAGCTTTGTGAATGTGATCTCAGGCAGTGTTGTCAGTTCAAGCCACTTCTCTGCCTCGCACCAGAATTCAGATCTCACGGGAATGAGGACATCTTGAACCCTATCCCATCCACCGTATTCATCTCCATCGAGGAATTTTCAAGAGCCCACGACTGCTGGGGAAGCTCCTTCTGGCGAATTCGAATATAAATATATATATTATGAACCATCTTCTCCCTATCACGTCCTTGAACTTCGCGTGGAGCTTTTCTTCGATGCGAAGCGACAATAAGCGTCACCCGACCGACCCGGAGCAGGTTTCAGTCCGAGTCCGAGATGGCGTCGAGACTTTCTTTCGTCTGGCTGGCGGGATTTTATACGTAATACGTATGCGTAATAAGTACTCGCCGCTCACAACTAATCGAGGTAATTTCGCCGGGCAAAGGTCTAGCTACTGTCCAGGATTTCCGTGTATCGTTTTTCGAAAAACAATCGGAGTCTCCGTCCTGCCTTGCCAACGGGTGAATTGGTCTCGTTGAAAACTTCACAATTTGAAAACATCAGACGGGCGTCATCCGCGAAGTCCTCGCAATTATTGTAGCTGTAAACGAACAGGGGATCTTAGGGGGGTCTGCTCGACAGGGGAACCACGGGGAAATTCGCACGAGCAGCGAGAAAGAAGTTATGCGCAGACGCTTATTCCAAGAGAGGATTCTCGGCGCGGTACTCACACCCCGGATTCGATTTTGTTCCGGATCGTCTGGAGATCCATGGGCCTCTTGATGATTTTCCTGTAGGTCGGGCATTCCTTCGGATTGACAGGATATAAAAAGGGCCACGCAGCATCGTGATCGCATAGTTCGTCTAGAAGTAACCTGGAATCGGATGTCTCGCATGAATCTCGGTCCTCGGAGGAGCGACAGGGACAACGTCGAAGCCCTATTAGGGTACCGTGAATACGGAACACATCTGAGCTTCCTCCACCAAATCATAAACGAGTGTCTTCCCGCCTTCAAGCGCACCTCCAAGGTCCCCGCTAGGCGAGACTCAACTGGAGCATATATCCCCTCGTTGGGAAATCGAACTGTACTCACTTGCATTCCCCGAGAACCCTCTCCGAAGCCTGTTGTTGTTTCTTGAGAGACGCAGCGCTGGCGCGTCCCTTCCTAGCACGTTTTTCTTTCGGAGCCCCGTCGGCCACATCCTTCTCCTTCTCTCTCTCCTTCTCTTTCTCCTTCTCTTTCTCCTTCTCTTTCTCCCTCTCTTTCTCCTTCTCTTTCTCCTTCTCTTTCTCCTTCTCTCTCTCCTTTTCTTTCTCCCTCTCTTTCTCCTTTTCTTTCTCCTTCTCTTTCATCCTCTCTCTATCCTTCTCCTTACTGTCCCTGGACTCCTTGGGCTCCTTGGTTTCTTTAACCTCTTTGCCTTCCTTAGTCTCTTTAGCGTCTTTCTTGTCCTTGGATTCTTTCACGTCTTTGACTTCCTTGGCATCCTTGGATTCGACTCCTTTTTCGTTCTTATCCTGGCCGTTGACAGCCGCGATCGCTACGGCGGCTTCAGCAGAAGCGCTTTTGCTCTTCGCTTTGGCCGAACTGCGATTTCTGCTGCTCGAAGACCTGTTGAGGATGGCAGAGAATATCCGGATTAGCGCGAGGGACGGACGCATGATCCGCCGAAGGAGACCTGGGGCGAGTGACCAATGAGGTCTGCTATAGTAATGGGGCTGACCTCTTTTTCGATGGCGCGGGAGTCTCGATTTCCGGCATCTCTACCGTGGGTACAGTACATGCAACACAAGTCCATTTCCTTGGCGGGACTTTCGCGAGATTCACGCATACTGGATGGAACAATTTCGGACACACATCGCACTGAGCCATTTTCGTGTTGCCTGGCTTACCACAGATGACGCATACCTGGGAAAAGATTCATTTGATAAACCCGGTGCATCATCTCATTCTGTCCATGCGCAAGACGGAGCTTCCCAGAGATCGAGAGCTGGTCCGCGGAGATCTCCATTACCTTGTTGAGATTCACCGAGTTTATGCACTCGAAACAGAACCAGTCGCCTTGCGGAACAACCATTTCCGGTTTGAAACAATACGTGTGGTAACCCTTATCACACGCATCACACAACAAAAGAGATTCCTCGTTTTCACCACTCCCGCAGAACTGGCAGTTCGCTTTCATGATGCTCTTTTCCCAAGCGATGCACGACTCGAGTTGCATCAGGCAGAGATGAACCTGGAATATGATATCGAGTCCGCATGATGAGGAGATCGGAAGTACCGAGCTGCATGAGGAGATACCAATACAATCAATGCTGACCTGAGCAGCACCGGTGCATTTGGCGACGCCATCGCGCCATCTTCGAAGTTCTCTCGAGATGTTATCCTCTTCGTCTTTCTTCTCTTCTCGGTGATTGAAACCTCCCCTCGTTGAACTAGCCGTTGTCGGACCGTGGGGTATCGGAACCTGACCCCGACCCAGAGGTGGTCGCAGATATCTACAAGAGACGGCGACACGTTACGGACGATTCTCGGTTCCCTCGGAGCGCTGGGGAACTCACTGACTCACAGTAAGGTTCCTGTCAAATTGTTGGGACGGGGGAAAATACCTTCGCTCTATTGCCGATTCCAGATTCAGGAGTCTTTCTCTGGCGATCTCGATGGGATTGTGGACACCGGGTGGAGGTGTGGGAGGTTTGAGATCTTCATCGGATTCTTCGTCCTCTTCTTTCTCCTCTTCCTCTTCTTCATTCGGTTTCGTTTGAATTTTCGCCAACGCTGCGAGTCGCCGACGTTCCGCTCGGCTCTTCTTCTTGTTATTCCGCTGTCGTTTAGCCTTTTGTCTTCCATAGAGTTTCTCTTCCTTAGCCCTGACGAACTTCTCGTGAAGAAGGAATGCTGTGCTAGCCATCCAAGCGGGATCATCGACGCTCTGAGGAATCGTTACGTCATCCTCGTCGTTCCTTACGCCACGAACCTGGAGTATGAGCTCGAATTGGACAGAGTTCGAGACGACCCTCGACCGATTGGAGAGCGAGAAAGAGAGCACCATAGAAGAGTGGACCGGAAGATCCCACGATACGCACCTGCATGCTGGCTTGCAGCACCCTCTCCTGCAACGAGTTCAGTTCGTTCAGTAGTTCAATCTCTACTTTGAGGGCAGCCTTGGGGTTCCACTGATCTTCGTAATCGGGAGAGGGAGCGGGCAAGTCCAGACCGGATAGCGCGTCGTTCGGATCGCCCTTCAGTCCGAACGGAACTTCGTCGGGATTGTACATGAGCACCTTGGACAGGGATTCCGAGAGATATTTCTCTCGATACCCGTCCGAGTTGAGCACCTTATACAGATCGTCTAGTTCACCGCGCTTCGTGATCTTCCACCAGCCCTTGCGAAGGACCTGCGGAATCGTTTGCAGTCTTTTCTCTTCGGTAGACTCGTCCATGGATTCATCTTCTTCCTCCTGGAATGCAGAAACGCGGTCAGAATCGGACGTCGGAATATCGACCTAGCCCTCCTTGGGGAGCGCTATCGAACGAGGGATTTACCACAGAGAAGTTCGAAACCCTCGATGCCACAGAAACGAGCTCTACTCACATCGTCTCGATCTTCTTCCATCGGTTCCTCTACAACTCCCGACCCGTCGCAACCTTCACGTGGCAAAATATTGAACCATCGACGGTGATTTCCATTATTCGCCTGCTCCAGCTGCTCAGCTTTTTTCTGTGCGATATTCTTCAAAGCCTGCTCCGCGCTGACCGCTGTTTGCACGACGCCTTCTGGGAGACCAGAACTCGCGGAAGCGTTATTGGCCGACGTGGGGACTGCATTCCCGGGCATTCCGGTTGACGAAGCGGTTTCGGAACCGCATTTCCCTGTCGCGGTGGAGTACGCACCCGCGGCCGCCGTAGAAGACGTTGATGGTGCCGAGGACAAGCCAGTCGCATCGGTGGCGGGAGGATGCGCCCCCGCTCCAAAATTAGCGGTAGCGTCCCCCATCGCGGAGCCGGCAAGCTGGCTCACCGGCGTCATGGCTGACGCACCAATGGTCGGATTCGACGTCGCTGTGGCCGTGGTAGCCCCGTCTGGAGGACTCGAGGCTGCTGCGGTGGCGGCATTCGGGATGGGAGGATTTGAGACGCCGTTCGAAGCCAACGCCCCCGCAGAACCTCCAGGGAGGGCCCCTTTTTGCAGCGTTACCAATTGTTGAAGCTGACCCAGGATGGTTGCCATGTTCGCCATGTTCCCGCCCTGCGAGGAGAAAAATTCTTCAGCGACTGACTTCGGAACGATGCAGCGCGACTTCAGAGGAGATCGGAGCCGACTGGATCCGACAGGCTGGCCGTTCCGGCTCTCAAGTTCTAGGTTCCAGCTCAGGTCGGATCTTAGGCTCCGAGAGTGCGAGATGCATCATTTTTGATTCTCGGAAGAGCTCTGCGTTGGGAAAACGAACCTGCATCAACATGGTCGTAGCTAGCATGGACGTGAAGAAGGGATTGGACAGCAGTAGTTGGGCCATTTCGTCTTGGATCCCCATACTTCGGAGAACGGCTTGCATTTGAGCTGCAGGGTCGGTCGAGTTGGCCGTGGCTCCAGGTTCCGTTTTGAGCGGTTCCTGCTTGGGCTCCGTAGGGGCTTCCATTTCGGAGGCTTTCGGATCTGTGGATTTTATTGAATACGGTCACAAGTTTTCTCGGGAATGCAACAACCGTGCCAGTCCCACCGCGGATCGGGCCGAGTTCTCCCGTTCCGGGGAACTTCCAACCCACCTTCTTGCTGCTCCGTCTTAGGCTTCGAGTCATCCTTGACGTCGATCTTCTTCGTGTCCTCGACCGGGTCCTTGATATCGGGAGATTCACCGTTCTTCTCAACGGGGGTTTCGGCTTTATCTTCAACAGGTTTCTCCGCGGGCTCGGTCTTGGCCTCGGTTTTGATCTCGGGCATTTCGTTCAGGAGGTCAGACTTCACTTCGTTCTCTTTGTCGTGATCGGTGGCGTCGTCTTCAGTTTTTGTCGTGTTCACCGTTTCGTCTGTTGTTTCTTTCTTCGGTTCCACAGGCTTCTTCGACTCTTGAGATCCTTCGTCATCTTCTTCCTACAATCACAGAGATGGTCAATCTATATCATTCAACTACACGAGCGTTCCCACCCCGCTGACCGCTGTATAGTCCCTCGGATACCTTCATAACGGAGAACTCTGGCTCAAACTCACCATATCACTTAGTGGACCGGAGTCGTCGTTGATTTCTTGTTCGGTACCGTCGGTCGCACTCAACATGTCGGCGTCAAAATCTCCGATTCCATCTTGCTCGGCAGATTCCAATGATTCGACATAGATCCCACCGTTTTGAGCAAGAATCCAGAACCGTCTCCGGTATCTGTCTTGGCCCAGCATTGTCGACCGTATCGCCGCGGCTGTTTCCAGAATCTTCTTCGACAACTCGCATTGCGTCTGAGGGAGATCGTGATTTGAGAAGGGGCCGAAAGATCGGGGAAGGTTTTCGCCCAGGATTGCCCAGAAAAGGAATTGAAACATTATGAGAGCGGTAGATACCTGTTCCATCTTAGCTACTTTGTTATCTAGTTGATCATCGCTCATGGCCGAATTTGGTTCATCATTGCAAGGATGCGGTGCGTCCACAACAGGAGGGCCTGGAGGTTGCGCCGGTGCTACTGCTGACGTCGCTGACTGTGCATCACCGCTCTCGGCCGCGGCTTTCTCTTCCTTGCTTGCGGCTTCTCTCTCCTCCGCACGACGGGCGCGAACTCTGCGGTAGAAATGATAAATCTTCCTGTCTTGTTCACCGCGGCAGGTTCGACGATGAACCGAAAGAGGAGTCTTCGTTCTCGATCAAGATCGAATCAGGGCGGGTCTTACCTCTGGACAGCACGTAATTTGTTGAGCTCTCCTTCGACTATTCCTCGGTCTCTTCTAAGTATTGACAGATGTTCCGTGCAATTGTCAATGTGACGGACGACTGACCGATTCGACAACAATTCGTTGCACAGGAATGCCACAATCTTAGAGAAAGCATCACTATTAGATCAGACACCGTCCGCGATCGTTCCGACAGCTCCCAAATGCATGAAAACGACGCCAAGGGCGCTTACCTCTGACTTTTGGGTCGGATTCAGAGCCAAGAACGGTTTTTCACAAACCCATTGGTAAATGGCACCGTCTTTGTCAAGCGCTAAGAAGTACAACCTCAGTGCTTCGGTGAGAGTGAAACGATTTATGGTGATGTCCTGCAGGAAAAATTTAGCGTTTTGAATCGATCTGAGTGAGAAGCGCGGATAGCTTCGGAAGTTTTATTGAGATGCTTCGAGCCTGTATATCATTCAGCCGTGCTCACCCTGAGATGTTGTCCCGTCACTGTCGATGCGTCCCGAGAGTTTTGTAAGCCGGGGTCAACGATACAGATCGCCAAAAGTTGACCAACAAGAGAGCACAGTTCGTCCTCGAAACCTTCGTTCACGAGGGCTTTCTCTAATTCAGCTCGAGAGGGAATCGTTCCTACGAAACGGATGGCATTGAGTCGAATCGTTACGCGTGCTTGGGAATATCCTTGATTATTCCTTAGGATCTATTGACACGACCCGATTCGAATGCATCTAGCATTGTCTTACCTTTGTAACCGACGCACTTCTGGAACGTGGTGAGAAATTCATCGACGAGGAGAAGATTTGCGTACGCGCTTGCTGGAACGCGGAGCTTGCCTAATCTTGGCAAGCTCAGCGCGCGCGACTTTGGATCAGCTGCTAGCTCGAGGTCCTCGACTGCGGCTTTCTGTTCAGGCGGCGGTTCGACCTCCCGGACCTGATCCCTACAACGGCCGGAAAGCGAGGATCAGACTCAGATCGACTATTCTTTCCCGGGCAGGGGAATATTTCAATCGGATCCATCAATCGGATTGGGTGGCGGGAGGTCCAAGACGCGCGAGACTTCCACAGCTCTCCGGAAGTGGCTTACCTTGATTTCTGGTAAAGCACGAGAGCTTGTATAAGTCCAAGATGTTGACGTCTTCGTTCTCTTTCTGTATCCAACATGGCGATCATCTCACGTCTTTTCGCCATTTCTTGCTCTCGTAAAAGAGCTTGTTGCTGCCTCCGAAGTTCTCTCTCTTGAACCTTTGCAAGTATTTCGGCCTGTCTCCGACTTTCGGCCTCGGCCTGCTTTCGCTTTTTCTCTTCTTCAAGCGCTTTCAGCCGACGCTCTTTTTCCAGTCGTTGTTCTTCTTTTTTCTTCTCTTTCTCGAGTTCACGTTGTTTCTGTCGTTCTTTCTCACGTTCACGTTCTCGCTCCTTTTGGAAGGCGCGGTCCATGGCGACTCTCTTCCGTGATACGGAGTCCCCCCTGAGGTTGTCTATGCGCTGATTGACCTGCGATTGAAAACTTGGCGTGAGGAACCATCGACCGTTGCCGTCGAGCCCGCTCGCTGCATCTCGGAGCGACGGAAATATCATTCGAAATAATTTCTCACCTCCCCTTCGCTCAGACGGCATCCACCATCCTTCGGATATCCGCCCTCGAAAAAATCGCCTATGTTGAACTTGTTGTTGAAAGTGAAGTTTTCGCGAGCCAGAACAGCGGCGAATCCTTTGCGTTGTAGGTATCGGTTGATGTCGGGATAACTTTTCAGTCTTTTGCCGCAAGGTCCGTAGTACGTAACCTCTCCTCGAACGCCTAGTTTCGAAATGCTCCTGGAATCCGAAGCGCTAATACTTAAGCTGGTACTAGCTCGGTATCGAGTGTTGAGCCCCGTGTTAGTCCGACACGTTTTCCTACGGGTAGTTCATGCGCTAGAAGCGTTTTTTACGTGTTCCAAGTCTGTGTTGCCCCCTCTCCCGGCCTCGCACTCGATCAAAACTCACTTGATTAGAGTTTCCCTTCTGAAACCCAATAATAGTGGCTTTCTGAGCAATTCCTCTGTGTTGGGCGTGCCCCGATTAGACGCGTCGTCAGCTTCGTGGTCGGAGTGTGAATCTTGGGATTTCCTTCCTTGGGAATGGGAGGATCCAGCCTCTTCATCTTCGGAAAAACCTCCGAGACTCGACGTTTCGCTCAGGGCTGCCAAACCGACTGGAAGCGAAATCCGCATTTAGAATCAATAGACCGACAACCGGCCCTCGAGCTCAGATCGTATGACGACACAAATTCATGTGGCGATGCGCAAGCAAAGTGAAATGCGACTGACCAGCAGACTGCTCCCTCTGTTTGAGCTGAGGCATCGGTGGAAGAGTGGGAATGCCCGAGTCCACGAGAGCTCGCCCGAAAAGACCCGAGATCATTTGCAATTGGCGAATCTGTTCCTGGTGAATTTCGAATGCGGTCGTGCCGACACCGAGAGCCTCTAAACTGGCTTTGGATATTTGCTGCGGAAAAAAACGAAGATCAAGTTTTTTCTCTAACTCACCAGGTAGATCGACACAATGGTAAGACGCTGTCGCGGAATCCTCACTCGACTCGAGTGGAAGTCGCCACTACGAACCTGATGGTGCGGCCTTAAAGATGGCGGAGCTGAATTCCGCACTAACTTCGGCGGTGTAGGCAGCTCGACATCTTCATCAGGGGAGCGATCTCTCCGCTTCACGCAGAGATCCAGGGGAGCGCCCAAATCTATTGCCTCCACGTTCGGTGGAGGCGGAGCGAGGAATAGGTCTCCTTCCTGAAAATGAAAATCCATGATGGTCAGAATATTGAGGTGAAATGTTTTCAGGACACCGAAAACGAAATAGGCTCCCGCTGTCTAGGTGAGAAACACCTCAGGCGGACGGAAGAGCGAGCTGTCGACAGACACAATTGATCCGCCAAAAGCGATTTTCGAATCTTCCTGCTTATCGCCGCTCGATCTTCGCAGGATCACATATAATTCCGTACAGCACATGATCCGGATTCGGCAGCATCCAGATTCGGTGAGAACCTCAACCCAAAATATTCGCGTATAGGACGACCCTTCTTTTCCCACCTCCCGCCCCCCCCCCC